GATCCACACATCCCCTACCCACTCTAAAGCCTCTTTGCTCATCTGCAATCCTACTCTCTGTCTCACCTGGAGTTTACGTGGAGAGAGTTCCAGGGGTCAATGCCCCCACGGCCCAGTCTGTGACCAGGCCTCCTGGTGGATCAGAGCCTGATCAACCAGGCTGTTACTGCTGGCTGCACACAATCCAACGTACGAGCCACAGCCTGGCTGGTCAGGTACCGACTTTAGGTGCTTGTCCAGTGCCAGCTTGAAGACTGCCAGGGGTCTATTGGTAATCCCCCTTATGTGTGCTGGGAGGCAGTTGAACAGTCTCGGGCCCCTGACATTTATTGTATTGTCTCTTAATGTGCTAGTGACACCCCTGCTTTTCATTGGGGGGATGTTGCATCGTCTGCCAAGTCTTTTGCTTTCGTTGTGAGTGATTTTCGTGTGCAAGTTCGGTACTAGTCCCTCTAGGATTTTCCAGGTTTATATAATCATGTCTCTCTCCCGCCTGCGTTCCAGGGAATACAGGTTCAGGAACTTCAAGCGCTCCCAGTAATTGAGGTGTTTTATCTCCGTTATGCTCGCCGTGAAGGTTCTCTGCACATTTTCTAGGTCAGCAATTTCACCTGCCTTGAAAGGTGCTGTTAGTGTGCAGCAATATTCCAGCCTAGAACAAGCGACCTGAAGAGTGTCATCATGGGCTTGGCATCCCCAGTTTTGAAGGTTCTCATTATCCATCCTGTCATTTTTCTAGCAGCTGCGATTGATACAATGTTATGGTCCTTGAAGGCGAGATCCTCTGACATGATCACTCCCAGGTCTTTGACGTTGGTTTTTCGCTCTATTTTGTGGCCGGAATTTGTTTTGTACTCTGATGAAGTTTTAATTTCCTCGTGTTTACCATATTGGAGTAATTGAAATTTCTCATCTTTGAACTTCACATTGTTTTCTGCAGTCCACTGAAAGATTTGGTTGATGTCCGCCTGGAGTCTTGCAGTGTCTGCAATGGAAGACACTGTCATGCAGATTAGGGTGTCATCTGCAAAGGAAGACACGGTGCTGTGGCTGACATCCTTGTCTATATCAGATATGAGAATGAGAAACAAGATGGGAGCGAGTACTGTTCCTTGTGGAACAGAGCTTTTCACCGTAGCCACCTCAGACTTTACTCTGTTGACTACTACTCTTTGTGTTCTGTTTGTGAGGAAATTATAGATCCATCTACCAACTTTTCCTGTTATTCCTTTAGCACGCATTTTGTGTGCAATTATGCCATGGTCACACTTGTCGAAGGCTTTTGCAAAGTCTGTTTATATTACATCTGCATTCTTTTTGTCTTCTAGTGCATCTAGGACCTTGTCGTAGTGATCCAATAGTTGAGACAGACAGGAGCGACCTACTCTAAACCCATGTTGCCCTGGATTGTGTAACTGATGGGTTTCTAGATGGGTGGCGATCTTGCTTCTTAGGACCCTTTCAAAGATTTTTATGATATGGGATGTTAGTGCTATCGGTATGTAGTTCTTTGCTATTGCTTTACTGCCCCCTTTGTGGAGTGGGGCTATGTCTGTTGTTCTTAGTAACTGTGGGATGACCCCCGTGTCCATGCTCCCTCTCCATAGGATGGTAAAAGCTCGTGATAGGGGCTTCTTGCAGTTCTTGATGAACACGGAGTTCCATGAGTCTATATATGAATTAAAAAAAAAAAATCAATGCCTTTGAAAAAAACAAAGGACTAAAATTAAAATCAGAAATTCTCCTAAAAAAGGTGCAAGCCAGTTTACATTTCTCTATCAATATATGTCAAACAAATATGCACAAACAACACATTCACAAAATACAAAAAAAAAAAAATCAATGCATTTGATAAACAAAACACTTAAAACAAATAATTAAAAACTTTCCCCACCTAGGATGTATGCATCAGTAGTTGGATTATATCGTATCATAATTCATGGTGCGAGCTTCCACTTCCTTAGTTGACTTACTAATACTGCAATTTTCCTAAACATATTTTTAATAAAAATTAATCAAATTTATTTACAATGAATTGTTTTTAAAAATTGCTGCCTCCCATCAAGGAAGGGTAACCCAAAGAAGAAAACACATTCACCAATATTCACTCAGTAGCCTTCTTTCCAGACATGTTCTTACATCAGATCACCTCCTAAATGCAATATCCCCACTTCTCCTCCAGAATGAAGGCAATACCCTAATCATCTCCAGGACACAAGTCCAGCTAACTAGTTTCCCCAAATCCCTTCATAAAGTTACCCTGCTCACACTCCAACAGCACATCTATTTAGAATAATGTCTCTACTCATATATATCTACCACACTCAAGCTTCTAAAATGCAAAGCCTCTTGTACCCCCTCTCTCCAACTGTTCTAAGAATGACCCCTTCCTCTCCTACCTTCCGCCTCAGATTATACACCCTTTTCATCAATCTATCCCTGTTCATCCCCTCTGCATGTGCAAACCACCTCAATGGGGCTCAACAACAAGTAACCATCTCAGACCACTAATTACCCAACAAAAGGCTGCAGTTAGAATGATAACAAATTCTCACTATAGGCAGCACACTCCACCAATATTCAATACACTAAACCTACTCACCATACAAAACATTCATACTTATTACTGCACCTATTACATACATAGAACACTTAACTCTGATATTAACCCTCCCCTCAAACATCTCCTTGCCAACCTCAACAGAACACATGACCATAACACAAGGCACAGATCACTCTTTGATGTTCCTCGTGTCCATCTCACACTATGCAAAAAACTCAATGCACATAAAAGGCCCAAAAATCTGGAACTCATTACCTGTAAATATAAAAGAAACACTACCTGTTTATAAATTCAAGTCTCTTCTCAAATATCACTTACTCACCCAAAACCAATAAATACTGAATAACTGAACCTTATAAATTGTATATCTTAAATGTTTCTCACAATTATATCACATAAATGTTAAACCTAAAACCCAATCTAACTTTATTATTTTTTAAATACACTACCTAACAGAATACTCCATTCTACTGAATGTACAACAATGCATACAACCATATGACCTGTCTTTGTAATACTCACTTGTGCTTTATAGTAATCTGTTTACATTAAAGTTTTATCACTGATGTCATCATTGCTTAGTTCATCTTAAGTTAATTTTAAGCCAGCCCGTAATGCTATGCATAGTATAAGTGGCTTTGGCATGCTGCTCTTATCTGTATTTTTTGTACCTCTGTATGTGTGCTCAAATTTTTAAATAAATAAATAAATAAATAAATAAATAAATAAATAAATAACTCCTCCTCAGCCCCCTGAATTATACCCTTGGTTACCCTACACTGATTTTTAATTTCTACTCTGTGAATTCTTTGAATAATATTCACACGACACACTGCTCTCAAATGTGACATCTCTACTGCCTCTAGCCTCATTTTCACTGCAACATTCAAAATCCATGCCTCACACCCATGTAAAAGTGGTGGTACCACTATACTCTGGTATTTTTTTTTCCTCTGCAGACGAACTTTCTTTCCACAGATACTTCAACACACCACTTGCCTTATTCCCTCATCTATCTTATGGTTCAACTTATCTTTCATAGATCCATCTGCTGACATGTCCCCTCCCAAATATCTAAATACATCCACTTCTTCCATTCTCCCTCCCTCTAATCTTATATTCAATCTATCATTGCCTCATCATCTTGCTCTATTCTATATTCACCTTTTATTTATTTTCCATACTCACTTAAATTCATCCATCAATCTTTGTAATTTGTCATCAGAATCCCTTGTAAAAATTGTCATCAACAAAGAGTAACTAGGCCAACTCCAACTTTATATCAGAACCCACACCTTTTCCCAACACCCTAATATTTACTTTCATAACCCCATTTGGAGAATGTTTTATACCTTAATTTAGCATATTTTTAATACTCTGAGATACATAAAATATACAATTTACCATAAATATAAAATCCAATTAGCCTCAAAAGCTACTTAATGTTCTATATTCTGACAGCACTAAGAGTATTGGAGTGCTGGTAAAAATTTTTGGATCAGGTGCCACATTTAAATGTACCTGTGAAATACCTGTAACTGGTTTTGAGGGTTCTTCTACCCCCAGAACCCAACTTCGCGCCAGACTTCCCTGGTAACTATTCGGTCAACCAGGCTGTTTGTGCTAGTGACCCACAACCTGGTTGATCAGGCACCTGTAAAAGGAAGCTGTCCAATTTCCTGAAAACTTCAATCTTCTTTCTTGCAATATTTTTGATATCTGTTGGTAATATGCTGAAAAGGCTTGAGTCATGAATGTTGACAAAGTGTTCTCTACTTACTTGGTACCATGACATATGAACTAGAACATATGCACCACATGTCATGTATACATACTGTGTGCACCTGTGTAAGTATGTACAAGCCACTATGTGCACATGGATCAGGTGCCATGTACACTTTTTTTTTTCTCTACAGAGAATGTCATTTTTTATCTACAAGTTTGAATAACTTTTTATTTAATAATGAAAAAGTAACATAAGGAAATATGTTGGTTCACCTGTGACTTATTACCTTTTAAAAGTCACATAACCATTACACACCTACATTATGTAAACAGTATTATCCCTATCAATTTTTTTTTTTTTCAACAAGTCGGCCGTCTCCCAATTATTACATATAAATCATAGGAAAATTATCAACCTGAAGACTCCTGTTATTTATACTTTTTGATACAAAGCTAAGAATTCTATTTGCTTTTCTGCTAACACTTATACACTGATGTCTTAGTTTTAAATTACTGCTAACCAAAACTCCTACATATTTTTTTGCACTCAGAGTTCACCCCATTTATGCAGACTCTCTGCTTCCTGTTGGCGAGCCATGCCTCAATCCATTACAAGACTTTTCCCTCAATACCACATGCTGCCACTTTCTTTAAAAGTCTTTGGTGTGGTACTCCATCAAAAGCTTTACTACCCATTATCATATTTTCTTACCTTTATGAAGTAAAATATGCCAGCTAACAACAATGCCAGAGTGCCACATGAAGAATAAGCCAGAGAAATGAGTGCTACACCAACCACAATTGGCACACGAGACAGTCCTGATACAGCAAGGTCAGCTATCACGTCTCTTCCACCCAGCGAATGCCCCAACACCCTGAAGTATTGATGGATTACCAAAATAAGTATTAGGCTGAATCACTGCATCAATGCTTTAAGATATGCATGAAGCAAACAAAAACTACAATTTTACAAACTTAAATGCTTCAACATTTCTTATAACCCTTATTTAAATAAACAAGCCATTTTCCAGCAAGGCAAGTAATCCAAAGAAGAAATTATATTCACCATTTGCTCCATAGTTGCTTTTCCAATGAGTCTCCCACAAAACCAAGATCATAATGTGACTTTCAGAGTGTATTCATTGAGTATTCTACCTTCAAATTTATAATCCAGCTAGATGTTACCATGCTTATACCAACAACACATCAAGTTCAAATGTGTGTAAAGCAGAGTATGTTTGTTGACCTATCACACTCCTTGAATAGAGAGGTTAATGAAGTAGTAGTAACTCTTACCAAAGTTAGGTTAAATATATAAGCACATTTTTTACATATTTTGCACACTTTACAGAGGAATGTAACTGGCAAACCAATGAAGAGTTTATTCTATATTCAATGATATGTGGGGTGCACTACAAAACATTTTAATCCACAGCACTGGCACTTTCTATTCACAGAGTCTATTTTGTGACCAAAAATTGATGTAAACTGACTACTAGATACTAAGTTTCTGCACATGATGTTGAGTTCCTAGTTCCTCCTGCCAGTCAGTCTCTCAGCTTTTTATCCTCTCCCTCAGCCATAACGTCATACTGTATACCCTCCATATCTTCCCATCTGCCTTAACAGCAGTTACTGTCTTATAATCCTGTCTCAAGCCACTTCTGTTGCAAGGGTCAGTTTGACTGGGTATATGTCTCTTGAGTACCTTTTGTGCACATGCATGCACACTTATATATGTGTGCTTACATATACTTGTGAATGTGCATGTGTGTACAGGTGTATGATAAAACAAGACTAGAGCTGAATCCAGTCAAACAACTACTGACACCTGGTTGACAATTCTTGTAGAGAAACTGGCTTTCAGGGAAAAGGGAGGCAGTTGATCTCCTGTTTTTCTCACAAGAACCAAGACTGATTTTTTAATGAAATTCACTCAAGGTATAGTATTCTCCTATGCTAAGACACATAATAGACAAGAGCAGAGTAGGGGCCCAACTTACATGGTTCCAAGTTATAAGATCTTGCCCATTGGCATTTTGGGCCCAATTAATTTCGTATAAATAGCTCGCACTGACGAAAGTGGGGATGACTAATGCTGGCGGAGGAACATCAGAAGAAGGTGGTGTTTTGGCTTGTGGCTGATAGTAAACATTCTACTGATACTTTGCTTGCTTTTGCCTTCGTGTGCTCAATGTATATTTTGAGAATGTACCTTAGAAAACAGTAGTGCATCATGACTGGAACGTTTAAGAGTAGTGGTAGTGATAACCAAGTGCATCAGAAAAAGATATCTATAACCTGAGATAATGTGCATGCAATTACAAAAGCATATTGAAGGTAAAGAATTGGGTGAAAATTGAGACATGCAACATATGGGAATCTTTATTCAGGAAACGTTTCGCCACACAGTGGCTTCATCAGTCCAATACAAAGAGGAAGGCGTAAGGAGAGGAGGAGTATGAGGTAATCAGTCCCTCGGCCTGGAGTCGATGTGTTCAGTCCATCAATCTTGTAGAATGTAGAGCATAGGGCCGTAGACGTGGCTTATATACTGTAGTGAGGTGAGGTGAAGCAGGCGGAGGCGGGGTCATAGTGGTACCATCCACTAGTCGAAGTATGTCTTCGTCCAAAGGTTGAACAAGTGTTGAAGAATTCTTTGTAACAAGATCTCATGATGCTGCAGTGTCTGACAGTTGCGAAACGTTTCCTGAATAAAGATTCCCATAAGTGTCTGCATAAGTGTCTCAATCTTCAACTTGTCGGTTTCTCAAACCATTCATCACAACTGTCAGACACTGCAGCATCATGAGATCTTGTTACAAAGAATTCTTCAACACTTGTTCAACCTTTGGACGAAGACATACTTCGACTAGTGGATGGTACCACTATGACCCCGCCTCCGCCTGCTTCACCTCACCTCACTACAGTATATAAGCCACGTCTACGGCCCTATGCTCTACATTCTACAAGATTGATGGACTGAACACATCGACTCCAGGCCGAGGGACTGATTACCTCATACTCCTCCTCTCCTTACGCCTTCCTCTTTGTATTGGACTGATGAAGCCACTGTGTGCCGAAACGTTTCCTGAATAAAGATTCCCATATGCTGCATAAGTGTCTCAATCTTCAACTTGTAGGTTTCTCAAACCATTCATCACAAAGAATTGGGTAAAACTTGAGGAATAAAATTAATGAAATCATGTGCAGAAAATTATGACTCGGGAACATATTAATTCATTTTATATTGTTTCTTATGGGAAAATAAGTTTGAGTAGTAAAGAATTGACTCATGATTAATTTTCAGGAACACATTAACGGCATAAGCTGGGGCCCTACTGTTTTGCAAAATAACAATAAAGATTTTTAATTTAGATCAATATTTACCATTTGTTATAGAAGTTTTAGAAAAAAATTAATATCTCCCAAATGGCTAAAGGAGACAAAAAAAAATATGTATGTATGTAGTTTTAAAACATAATAAAGACTGATTAATTTTTCAGTTTGACAGCCAAACTTCTAAGTGCTCCAGAATGGTATTAATTGTAGTAATAAAATTAGGAAATTGGAGGCTACAAAGCCCAGGGTCTGATCAACAGCCTGGTTGATCAGACCCTGATCCACCACGAGGCCTGGTTTCAGACTGGGCCGCGGGGGTGTTGACCCCCCAAAACCCTCTCCAGGTATACTCCAAATACAGGTATACTAAAAATTGTTATCTACAAAGCCACCCTACACTTTAAATGTTCAACACTTCACAATATCTTTTGTCACTGTGTTTCATTCTAGTTGTCCAATTCATAGCTGCTCATCTCTCTCTTTTCTATAATTCATTTCACTTTGACTTCTCTTTATCTATTGCTTCCATTATTGTATGGCAACTTCCTATTATTCTTACTTTGGTTATCATTAGGACTGATCACTGACATCAGGTTGCTTCTCTAAAGCAAGTACTACATTATGTCAAAAGCCTCTCCTCATCCATTATCCATTAGCTCGTAGTTCAACAGCCTGTTCTCACTGCACATTTCTTCATACCTCTTATACCTATTGAATCACTCCATAGCTATCTCTATTATCTCTATAATCTTTCTCTCTTTATCCTCTATTTTCTCTCTCTTTTATGCTATGTTATTCCTCTCTTTCTCCTTATCTATACCACTCTTATCGCCAAGTGACATCCAGCTGTCAATCAAAACTATATTCATTAAAAATTTAAAAAGTATACAATTTCCCATCTTCACCTACTTCATCATTCACCATAACAGCCACTGAAAATAAAGCAATGCTTAAACAATAGGGAATATAAATAATACTGACTTAAGAACAAAAGTGTGTGCCGCATTGCCACTGAGAAGGACCAGGCCCCAGGTGGCTGCACCCGTGGCTAGGGATAAAGGCAGAGTTCCCAAGAACAAGAGGATGGGAAGTATTGCCAGTTCCTCTCCATTATTGTTCATAATGATAATGTCATCAGATACATCAAAATTTCTGAAAAAAAAAAAATTTGGGTCTTATTACATGCACAAAATTAGCCTTTTTTTTTTTTTTTTTTTTTAATTTTTTCTTTCAAAATATTCATAGCACTAGTGGAGATGCAGTGATCAATGCCATGACAGTTAAAAGGTTAATCTGGTTGTTTTTGTTCTACAGTATCTTGCCCTTCCTCAAGTAGGCCACCATATGTAAAATCTTCTCCAGATATTTAGACTACCTTTATATACTGAAAGACTACTTTTGAGGTAGAATTGCCACATCTAAAGAAAAAAATAATTTACATACAGGTCTCCCTCAACATTCGCGAGGGTTAGGAGATCAAGAGCCTCGCGAATGTTGAAAACCCGTGAATGTTTGGTGCCCCAATATATTGTAGGGAAATATAATACAATACTGCTTCCTTAACTTGTTGAACCATGAACAATCATAAAATACATGAAAACATCGTAAATTGTACTAAATATATACATGTTATGTTTTACTAACATGTATGTTATTAAATACCACAGACTCCTCCACTGCCTCCATCAATGCCTCCACCACTTCCTCAACCACTGCGAGTCCCTACTACCCTCCCTCTGAGCCCCGCAACTGGCAGCCAGCCCTCCCACCACTCAGTGTGGTGAGTGTTTTGTTTGTTCATTATTTGCTATTAAACTACAGTATAAATAATGTAAACCCATTCATGACTGCATATTGGAATGGCTATTCAGAAAGGTATTGGACGGTGACATCATGTGTTTACTCTTGAACACAGCAAAGAATCAAACATTTCTGCTTCTGCTAATAATAACAATAGTAGTAGTAGTAGTAATAGTAGTAGTAATAGTAGTAGTAATAGTAGTAGTAATAGTAGTAGTAATAGTAATAATAATAATAATAATAATAATAATAATAATAATAATAATAATAATAATAATAATAATAATAATAATAATAATAATAATAATAATAATAATAATAATAATAATACGATATAATTGAAGAAGGAAATTGTACAAAAATACGAGGGAGTGGTTGACACATCGTCAGTGTGGCTTTGTTTATGCTGGAGTGAACATTAGTCTCCCTGCTCTTCCAAACATTTCACAATAATTCAGCAGTTGAGGCAGTGGTATTTAATAACATATATGTTATAAATAATAATAGTACATATTATTAATAACATGTATTATTATTATTAATAACATGTATGTTATTAAATACCACTGCCTCAACAGCTGCCTCAACCACTGCCTCAATCGCTGCCTCACCCACTGCCTTAATCGCTGCCTTAACAGCTGCCTCAACCACTGCCTCAATTGCTGCCTCAACAGCTGCCTCAACCACTGCCTCAATCGCTGCCTCAACAGCTGCCTCAACCACTGCCTCAATTGCTGCCTCAACAGCTGCCTCAACCACTGCCTCAACCACTGCCTCAATCGCTGCCTCTAACAGCTGCCTCAATCGCTGCCTCAACAGCTGCCTCACCCACTGCCTCAATCGCTGCCTCAACAGCTGCCTCACCCACTGCCTCAATCGCTGCCTCAACAGCTGCCTCACCCACTGCCTCAATCGCTGCCTCAACAGCTGCCTCACCCACTGCCTCAATCGCTGCCTCAACAGCTGCCTCACCCACTGCCTCAACAGCTGCTTCACCCACTGCCTCAATCGCTGCCTCAACAGCTGCCTCAACCACTGCCTCAATCGCTGCCTCAACAGCTGCCTCAACCACTGCCTCAATCGGTCTCAACAGCTGCCTCACCCACTACCTCAATCGCTGCCTCAACAGCTGCCTCACCCACTACCTCAATCACTGCCTCAACAGCTGCCTCATCCACTGCCTCTACCACTCCAGTCACACTCAATCTACAAGCACCAAACACAATGAATTATTGTGAAATGTTTGGAAGAGCAAGGAGACTAATGTTCACTCCAGCATAAACAAAGTCACACTGACGATGTGTCAACCACTCCCTCGTATTTTTGTACAACTTCCTTCTTCAATTATATCGTATTTATTATTATTATTATTTTTATTATTATTATTATTATTATTACTATTACTATTGTTATTATTAGCAGTAGCAGAAATGTTTGATTCTTTGCTGTGTTCAAGAGTAAACACATGATGTCACCGTCTAATACCTGTCCGAATAGCCATTCCAATATGCAGTCAAGAATGGGTTTACATTATTTATACTGTAGTTTAATAGCAAATAATGAACAAACAAAACACTCACCACACTGAGTGGTGGGAGGGCTGGCTGCCAGTTGCGGGGGTCGGTGGGAGGGTAGTAGGGACTCGCAGGTGGCGGGAAACTTGAATATGATTTGGCGGCTGGGAATTTGGTGGCTGGGAATTTGGCGGTTGGGAATTCGCGAATGTGTGAAGCCCGCGAAAGCTGAAAACGTGAATGTTGAGGGAGACCTGTACTGTGTTAGTTATCATTAATCTAAAAAACAATATGTGGAAAAATTTTGGGTTGCTCAGCATGTACACTATATCCAGGTCAGAAATGACAGAAAAAGATGGAAAAGAAAAAACAGTCCACTAAGTGACTATGAAAGCAATAGTCTTTATTGAAAGGTAAATGTAAAGGCTAACCCTTTGACTGTCGCGGCCGTATATATACGTCTTACAAGGTACCGTGTTTGACGTATATATACTCATAAATTCTAGCGGCTTCAAATCAAGCAGGAGAAAGCTGGTAGGCCCACATGTGAGAGAATGGGTCTGTGTGGTCAGTGTGCACCATATAAAAAAAATCCTGGAGCACACAGTGCATAAGGAGAAAAAAAAACTCCAACCGTTTTTTTTAATTAAAATGCCGACTTTGTGGTCTATTTTCGTATAGTATTTATGGTTGTATTCTCGTTTTCTTGGTCTCATTTGATAGAATCGAAAACGTGTTATAGAAATAGAGGTGATTTTGATTGATTTTACTATAAAAAGAACCTAGAAATGGAGCTCAAAGTAGGGGAAATGTTTGATTTTTGCCAATGTTCAAAAGTAAACAAATGATGCCATTGTCCAATAAATGTCCAACTAGCCATTCTAATATGCAGTCATAAATGGATTGATGTTATTTATACAATTATTACAGTATTGCAGTAGTCTGCATAATAGTAAGTCTTCTATTTTTTTGTTTGAATAAAAATTCAAAATAGAGAGCAAGAGTAATATCAGAGGGGCCTGGAGACATGACTGATGAGCAAAGAAAATGTTATTTTAGAGCCAGGAATGTCTGCATTGTTCATTCTGGACCTTATTTTGAAATTGTCATATTTTTTAATTTTTGTGAAATTGGCCAAATTGCAAATTTCTGACCACATTATTAGGTAGTTGAAATTGGTAAATGGGCAGTTTCTTGTACTCAATTGATAGAAAAAATGGAGTTCTAAAGAAATAGCTATGAGTTTGGGCAACTGGAACAATGCAATTAGCCGAAAATAGGGCTCAAAGTGCGCGAAATCGCTGATTTGTAAACAGCGCCGAGGTCGCTAACTTCGCGAGAGCATAATTCCGTCAGTTTTCCATCAAATTTTGTTTTTTTTTGGTGTCATTACAATCAGGAAAAGATTCTCTATTATTTCATAAGAAAAAATAATTTTTTTTTTTAAATTTTGCGACACCAGGAGACACCTCAGGATTGGGGGTTGCGACAGTCAAAGGGTTAATGAAAACTGACTTATCAGTACTGTTCTTAACAAGGAAAAATGAAGGTACTATGTAAATTCAGATTAATATAAAATAGCCCCCCCCCCCAAAAAAACCTGTATGCAAAAAATTTGGTAAGCAATTCCACAGAGTTTATTTCATTAAAAATAGCTATGAATGTTCTTAATGCCAAAAAATATAACCATATAGACATTAACAAATTACAATATATAGACACCTTTGTACACAACGTGATTTTAATACAGATTGCAAAGTAAAGTTTAAATCCTTTAACACGAGGACAGGGGGAGGCTAAATGCTCCGTCTGATAATCACAAAACAGTTACACTACCAAGTTTTACTCACCAACTTCCTACAAGAAACAAGTACAAGTTTAAATGTACAGTGGACCCCTGGTTAACGATATTTTTTCACTCCAGAAGTATGTTCAGGTGCCAGTACTGACCGAATTTGTTCCCATAAGGAAAATTGTGAAGTAGATTAGTCCATTTCAGACCCCCAAACATACACGTACAAATGCACTTACATAAATACACTTACATAATTGGTCGCATTCGGAGGTGATCGTTATGCGGGGGTCCACTGTATTTTTTAAGACAACAATTAGGTACAACTACAAATGTTACTACTAAATTTTAAAACCTTGTTTTAATTTTTTAAATCTTCTTAATCACACTAGAAATGTAATTCCAAGGAACACAGAACTTCTCAAGAGAGGATCATTCAACACAGAGACAAAACAAATTGAAGTATATTCTCTCAAATGAAAACTAAGCACTGAGCTCAATTCACTCAAACCCATCCCATAGCTCATGGTAAAAATTTAGGGTTAGTTACTATGCACTCAAATTACAACAGTGCTCACAGTAACAAAACTAATCCCCCCTCTGTAATAAGACACATTTTGATCCTGTATATTATTATTTACCACCAAAGTTGTAAATGAACATGCATGTTTTACGACAGAAAATGTTCTGGAGTAAACCTGCACTCCAACTGGCCATACATGCAAAGATAATCTATTGTTAAGTTGCCTATAACTACTCATTGCTATCGAAATATAGTACATCCAGTCAGATGTAACGGAGATCCATTACGGCTCAACCGACTGAAAAGGTATACATGGAAAGTGAATGATAGCTAATGACAATGTAAATATATTTAGAAATATATGGAAAAGAAAGGGAAATACTTGAAATAAACAGATTATAAATATAATATGATGATGCATGTAGAACTTAAAATAATAACGTGCAAAGAACAGTTTGAGAGATTCAAGCATATCTATTGCATAAAATTTACAATAATATAAAAGTAGACCATAATGCCAATGACATGTAGTTCTCCTATGATACTAAAGAAAAAACTGTACAGTACTTGTATGGTGACATTCTTTGCATGAGTAAGATTTTGGTTAGATGTTTTTTACCAGAGCAATCTGATGAGCATCTCCTCAACAGAACAAGCATCATCCCTTGTCATTCCAAGCAGGATTCTGGGTCATGAGTTACAGAACCACCATTATCACATCTCCTGTTCCAGGGACGACCTGGGTCTTGAGGTATGGAACTATTATTACTACATCTCTTGTTTCAGGAATGAACATGAGTCTTGAAGTATGGAACCAGCCTTAATGCATCACCTGTTCCAGAGTTGACCCTTGGTTTTGGCATGGAACCACTGTGCCATTACTACACCCCTTGGTTCAAAGCTGCTTCTTGGTCTTAATCTATGAACTACCACTACCACACCCATCATTTTAGGGCTAAATTTGGGCCCTGAGGTATGGAACTACTGTGCTAACTACAACACAGCAAGATATATATTGCATAGCAAATGTAACAGCATAAAAATAAAGATTAATGTTAAATGTGTGAGAAAAAGCAAATAAAGAAAAAATATTTAGAAATCCAAGCACATTCATGAAGTCAAAACCAAAACCTAAAATATTTCACTAGCTTGCTGATTTAAGAATTTATATGAATAAAATGGCCAGCTCCTCAATATGCAAAGATTAATAAGTAAGGATAAAAATACTTGTATATGACCTAAGCCTTACTTCAGTATAATGCTGCTGATCTTAATAAAAGGAACAATGGCCAATGGTGAGAGGGTAAGCATGGATGAAAAGAAGGATGGACAGTAACCATCAATGCCAATCGTCTGAAAAAAAGGAGAAAAAATCAAGGTACGAAAATAATGCTTCCATAGATATACAAAGTACATCAGATATTTAATGAACACATTTAAAACAAGAAATAACTATATACAATATGCACAAAGTAAACCCGTGTGATGATGAACCAATGACTGTTGCCTTGGGGAGTAATGCTTACAAGAGATCCACATTTACTCGAATTTCCTGGCCCAAATAAAATCACCACTAAGAGCATAACACCACATTTACACCAGCTGAGTATGTGGAAACAAAATGATCTAAAATCCAATGCAAACCAACCTAAATAACCTCTAGAGAAACAAGCGGCTCATCTCTAGAAAGAGATAGAACAATAAGAAACGTTGCCATTGTTTGACTCTGCCAGATATCACAGCTCTCTAATTCAAGCTTTCTAAACATAACAGACCTACTATATTCACATATAGATGTTAAGCGAATGTATAGGAACCTTTGAACCAAGTGAGAGAGTAATTGTGGTAGGGGACCTAAATGCTAAAGTAGGAGAAACATTGAGAGGGTGTGGTAGGTAAGTTTTGGATGCCAGGTGGAAATGAAATGGGAGCCCTTTGATTGAACTTTGTATAGAAAGGGGTTTAGTAATAGGTAATACGTATTTTAAGAAAAAGAGGATAAATAAGTATACAAGATATGATGTAGGACATAATGACAGTAGTTTGTTGGACTATGTATTGGCAAATAAAAGACTGTTGAGTAGACTTCAGGATGTAAATGTTTATAGAGGGGCCACAGATATATCAGATCACTTTCTAGTTGTAGCTACAGTGAGAGTAAAAGGTAGATGGGATACAAGGAAAATAGAAGCAGCAAGTAAGAGAGAGGTGAAGATGTATAAACTAAAAGAGGAGGCAGTTAGGGTAAGATATAAACAACTATTGGAGGATAGATGGGCTAGTGAGAGTACAGGCAATGGGGTCGAAGCTGTATGGGGTAGGTTTAAGAATGTAGTGTTAGAGTGTTCAGCAGAAGTTTGTGGTTACAGGAAAGTGGGTGCGGGAGGGAAGAAGAGCAATTGGCGGAATGATGATGTAAAGAGAGCAGTATGGGAGAAAAAGTTAGCATATAAGAGGTTTTTACAATGTAGAAGTGATGCAAGGAGGGAAGAGTATATGGAGAGAAAAAGAGAGTGGTGAAAAAATGTAAAAAGAGAGCAAATGAGAGTGTGGGTGAGATGTTATCAACAAATTTTGTTGAATGTAAGAAAAAGTTTTGGAGTGAGATTAATAAGTTGAGGAGGCCTAGGGAACAAATGGATTTGACAGTTAAAAATAGGAGAGCAGAGTTATTAAATGGAGAGTTAGAGGTATCGGGAAGATGGAGGGAATATTTTGAGTAATTGTTAAACGTTGATGAAGATAGGGAAGCTGTTATTTCGTGTATAAGGCAAGGAGGAATAACATCTTGTAGGGGTGAGGAAGAGCCAGTTGTGAGTGTGGGGGAGGTTCATGAGGCAGTAGGTAGAATGAAAGGGGTAAGGCAGCTGGAATTGATGGGATAAAGATAGAAATGTTAAAAGCAGGTGGAGATATAGTTGTGGAGTGGTTGGTGCAATTATTTAATAAATGTATGGAAGAGGGTAAGGTACCTAGGGATTGGCAGAGAGCATGCATAGTTCGTTTGCATAAAGACAAAGGGGAGAAAGAAGAGTGCAAAAATTATAGGGGAATAATTCTGTTGAGTATACCTGGTAAAGTGTATGGTAGAGTTATTATTGAAAGAATGAAGAGTAAGACGGAGAGTAGGATAGCAGATGAACAAGGAGGCTTTAGGAAAGGTAGGGGATGTGTAGACCAAGTGTTTACAGTGAAACATATAGGTGAACAGTATTTAGATAAGGGTAAAGAGGTTTTTGTGGCATTTATGGATTTGGAAAAGGCATATGACAGGATGGATAGGGGGGCAATGTGGCAAATGTTGCAGGTGTATGGTATAGGAGGTAGGTTACTGAAAGCAGTGAAGAGTTTCTATGAGGATAGTGAGGCTCAGGTTAGAGTATGTAGGAGAAAGGGAGATTATTTCCCAGTAAAAGTAGGCCTTAGATAAGGATGTGTGATGTCACCATGGTTGTTCATATTTATAGATGGGGTTGTAAGAGAACTGAATGCGAGGGTCTTGGCAAGAGGTGTGGAGTTAAAAGATAAAGAATCAACCATAAAGTGGGAGTTGTCACAGTTACTCTTTGCTGATGACACTGTGCTTTTGGGAGATTCTGAAGAGAAGTTGCAGAGACTGGTGGATGAATTTGGTAGGGTATGTAAAAGAAGAAAATTAAAAGTGAATATAGGAAAGAGTAAAGTGATGAGGCTAACAAAAAGATTAGGTGACGAAAGATTGGATATCATACTGGAGGGAGAGAGTATGGAGGAGGTGAATGTATTCAGATATTTAGGAGTGGACGTGTCAGCAGTTGGGTCTATGAAGGATGAGGTGAATCATAGAACTGATGAGGGAAAAAGGGCGAGTGGTGCACTTAGGAGTCTGTGGAGACAAAGAACTTTGTCCATGGAAGCAAAGCGGGGAATGTATGAGAGTACAGTTGTACCAACACCCTTGTATGGGTGTGAAGCATGGGTGATGAATGTTGCAACGAGGAGGCTGGAGGCATTGGAGATGTCATGTCTGAGGGCAATGTGTGGTGTGAATATAATGCAGAGAATTCGTAGTTTGGAAATTAGGATAAAGTGTGGGATTACCAAAACTATTATCCAGAGGGCTGAGGAGGGGTTGATGGTGGTTCGGACATGCAGAGAGAATGGAACAAAACAAAATAACTTTGAGAGTGTACAAATCTCTAGTGGAGGGAAGGCATGGTAGGGGTCGGCTTAGGAAGGGTTGGAGGAAGGGGGTAAAGGAGGTTTTGTGTGCAAGGGGCTTGGATTTCCAGCAAGCATGCATGAGCATATTGATAAGAGTGAATGGAAATGAATGGTTTTTAATACTTGACATGCTGTTGGAGTGTGAGCAAAGTAACATTTATGAAGGGATTCAGGGAAACCGGCAGGCAGGACTGGAGTCCTGGAGATGGGAAGTACAGTGTCTGCACTCTGAAGGAGGGGTGATAATGTTGCAGTTTTATAACTGTAGTGTAAAGCACCCTTCTGGCAAGACAGTGATGGAGTGAATGATGATGAAAGCTTTTCTTTTTCAGGCCACCCTGCCTTGGTGGGAATCGGCCGATGTGTTAATAAAAAAAATAAAAAATACATTCACATAATAAGACTTGCAGCAGAGGTGGGACATAACAGACCTACTATATTCAACAGATTGTATTAAGGTTGATAGAATTACCGACAATATGTTAAGTAAAATGTCACATTAGTTGCACTTCTGTCCTTTTACTTAACACTACTATATTCACACAACGTGACTTGCAGCAAAGGTGGGGTAACCGGAATAAACTCTAACCGAAGCTCATGATATATCTCCAACCCTGACCAAGGGTGCAGAAGACAGGCTTTATACAGTGGCACTGGATAAACCAAAACAATCTCTGTATTTTATGGTATTTGACTGAACAAATGAAGAATCTCTGGCAACCATCAAAAGGCAAGAAGATTCAATATCATTACTACAAAATAAAACTACATGTAGAACCAAGATCCGGTAACTAACCAAGCAAGCAAAATAACAGAACATGAAACCAAATAAACAAGATGAAGCTGCTCAGATCACTAAGCAACCAATAATGTCCCTTCACACACAGATCAAAACAATTCAAGGATCTTAACACCAAGCAGGAAGGGTTAACCAACAAACCGATGTGATGGAGCAACAACTTCATGACTCAGTTACAATGAAAAGTTCTGTCGTTCCATTAGAAGAACCAGGTGAGAGTTATTACTGTAGTGAATGACACTTTGAATAATGAGTTAAGATGAAACATGGACCCCCCACACACCCATCAGAGAAACATGTAGATCAGCCACCCTAGTAGCTGATGTCTCAAGGCCTACAATACATTTTTTTTTATTAACACATCGGCTGTTTCTCACCGATCCAAAAAAGAAGAAACACTTTCATCATCCCTCACTCCATTATTGTCTTGCCAGAAACATGCCTACACTATGGTTCAAAAACTGCAACATATCTCCACCCCTCCTTCAGAGCGCAGGCACTGTACCTCCCACCTCCAGGACTCAAGTCCGGCTAACCGGTTTCCCCAAGTGCCTTCATAAATGTTACTTGGCTCACACTCCAACAGCACATCATGTCATAAAAACTATTTGCTTCCACTCACTCCAATCTAACATGCTCACACATGCTTTCTGGAAGTCTAAGCCCCTCACACATAAAATCTCCTGCTATAAAAAAGGACCTCATTAAAGCTGCCATACTGATAAAAAACACATCTATAAAAGAATGCCAAACAAAAAACAAATGGGCAACAACCTTCATCCAGGTACAGTATTATCAGCACCTGTTATGTTAAAGATAGCAAATAATAGCTAATACTATTAGCTTACCTAGTGGATATAATATACAAAATGTTAAAGATCTTACAGTAATACAGTCAGCTCTCTTATAAAACTCCTCTATATAGTGCAATTTTTCATAAATGCAATTAAAGAAGTGCACTGAATAGCACTTACTATGAAGAATAGCACTTACTATGAAGGCCTTTCCAAGGGCTATTCAATATTGGATATACTTTTTCAGTCGCATTTATGAAAAATGACACTATACTATATAGAGCTTTATAAGAGCTGACTGCATATTTCTAATAATTACTGAAACACTATCCAGTCAATCATCCACACCAGCTGCATAAATTCCATTTGTAAACACTAATCATGTACCTTGCAAAAGATTCAAATGATTTTTTTGGTTTATCCACTGTAAGAGAATTAATGCCCAACTTTTTCTTAATACATACTGTATATTACTGAACATAAGATCTGGCCATAAGGCAGGTTTTTTTCTTTTACTAAATATGCCCGGAATAATATCCATCATTTTATGAGTGTAAAACCACTCAAAATGTCAACATACCAAAATAACCAAAAAAAGTATTCAGACCATCACTACCAACACAACATTGTAACTGTTGATCATAAGGGTTGTGACTGAGCTAATATTACGATTCTGGGACTTAGCAAGCTGTTGGAGTGTGAGCAAGGTAACATTTTATGAAGGGATCATTTTGTGAAGGGATTCAGAGAAACCGGTTAGCCAGACTTGAGTCCTGGAGGTGAGAAAGTACAGTACCTGCATTCTGAAGGAGGGGTGGTGATATTTGCAGTTTGGAGGGTCATCTGAACTATAGTGTCTGTATGCATCTGGCAAGACAGTGACAGAGTGAACGATGGTGAAAGTGTTTCCTTTTCAGGTGACCCTACCTCGGTGGTAGATGGCCAGTGTGTTAACCCCTTGCCATCTGTGCCATAATTTTTTTTAACAGTCAGCCATTTCCCACCGAGGGAGGGTGACCCAAAAAGAAAGAAAAAACTTTCATCATTTTGTACATAAATATTATCTCCAGTATCTCTACATTTCAGCCCTCATGATGTAAATATGAAAAAGCTACATGTGTATAATACTGATGCAAAATAACTTGCCTTAAACTGTACCAGTGCTCAAGGAAATTATAACCTTGTCCCTCCTGGTCTTATGGCCAGTAATATACAGGAAGTAGTAACTGCAAGTACCTGTTTTATTTTGCCTGAAATGCTCTTCATAACAATGGTCTTTCCAAAAACATTACAGTATTTAGATATAGTATAATTCCCAAACATAACAACACCTTAAATTTTGGAACTAAAAATTATATCTGCATTGTATTACTAAGAGAAAATGCCTAATATGATGCAAATCAAAACAAGTGAAAATATCTTACCCGCAGCTGCTTAGCAAGGGTGAGGAGGAGGTGTGCCGCACAGTATGATGGAATCTGCGAGCCGTAAAGCCATACTAGCCGTCGAAACACACCAACAAAGCTTCCCTGAATACTGAGAAAAAAGACGTCTTTGTATTTTATTCTTTTCATGAATTTAAGGATAATAAAACAATAAAAATATAAGTTACTCCAGAGACATCTTGTGACAAAGAAGTTGATTTGAAAGACGCTGTAGTGAAGTAACACAAATTGTATTGAAAATAATTTGGTTACAGAGCCTCTCCTCACTTAGCGGCGTACTCGTTTACTGACGACTTGGACTTATGACAGACTCTCTGACCAGTATGCATACCAAAATAATGTATAATAGAGCTGATTTCCTCTATTCTGTTTAATACAATATATAGTATAAAGGCAAAGGGGATAAAAGGGAGTGCAAAAATTATAGGGGAATAAGTCTGTTGAGTATAGGTAGTAGGTTGGTAGACAGCAACTGCCCAGGGAGGTACTATCGTCCTGCCAAGTGAGTGTAAAGTGAAAGCCTGTAATTGTTTTACATGATGGTAGGATTGCTGGTGGCCTTTTTTCTGTCTCATAAACATGCAAGATTTCAGGTACATCTTGCTACTTCTACTTACACTTAGGTCACACTACACATACATGTACAAGCATATATATACATACCCCTCTGGGTTTTCTTCTATTTTCTTTCTAATTCTTGTTCTTGTTTATTTCCTCTTATCTCCATGGGGAAGTGGAACAGAATTTTTCCTCCGTAAGCCATGCGTGTCGTGGGAGGCAACTAAAATGCCGGGAGCAGGGGGCTAGTGACCCCTTCTCCTGTATACGTTACTAAATTTAAAAGGAGAAACTTTCGTTTTTTCTTTTGGGCCACCCCACCTCAGTGGGATACGGCTGGTGCGTTGAAAGAAGAAGTCTATTGAGTATACTTGGTAAAGTGTATGGTAGATTTATTATTGAAAGAATTAAGAGTAAGACAGAGAGTAGGATAGCAGATAAACAAGTAGGCTTTAGGAAAGGTAAGGGGTGTGTAGACCAAGTGTTTATAGTGAAACATATAGGTGAACAGCATTTAGATAAGGGTAAGGAGGTTTTTGTGGCATTTATGGACTTAGAAAAGGCATATGACAGGGTGGATAGGGGGGCAATGTGGCAAATGTTGCAGGTTTATGGTATAGGAGGTAGGTTCTGAAACCATAAAGAGGTTTTAAAACGAGGAAGTGAGGCTCGGGTTAGGTATGTGGAGAGAGGGAGTTATTTCCCAGTAAAAGTGGGCCTTAGAAAAGGGAAGTGATGTCCCCCGGGGTTTGTCGAGTATATTTATAGAGGGGGGAAAGAGAATGAAGCTAGGGTCTTGGCAAGGGGTTGGAGTTAAAGAAAAAAAATCAAACACAAAGGGGGAGTTGTCACGTTGCTTTTTTGCTAACCCGGTGTTTTGGGAATTCTGAAGAGAAGTTCAAGTTGGTGGATGAATTTGGAAGGGATGTAAAAAAGAAAATTAAAAGTGAATAAGGAAAGAGTAAGATTATGAGGTTAACAAAAACGTTTAGGACGAAAGACGGAAACAGTTTGGAGGGAGACTAGGGGAGGAGGTGAATGTATTAATATTTAAGAGTGGACTTCCCCGCAGATGGTTCAAGAGGATGAGGTAATCACAGAATTGATGAAGAAAAAAGGGTGAGGGGTGCACTTAGGATCTGGGGAAACAAAGATTTTGTCCATGAAGCAAAAAGGAAAAGTATGAGAGTATATTGCCCAAACACTCTTGTAGGGTGTGAAGCATGGGTATGAATTTGCAAAAAGGGGAAGGCTGGGGCAGTGGGGATTCATGTCTGAGGGCAATGTGTGGGTGGAATATAATGCAGGAAAATTTTTTTGTTCGAAATTAGGGGAAAGTGGGGGATTGCCAAAACTATTATCCAGAGGGCTAAGGAGGGGTTGTTGAGGTGGTTCAGACATGTAGAGAGAATGGAACAAAACAGAATGACTTTGAGAGTGTATAAATCTGTAGTGGAGGGAAGGCGGGGTAGGGGTCAGCCTAGGAAGAGTTGGAGGGAGGGGGTAAAGGAGGTTTTGTATGCAATGGGCTTGGGCTTCCAGCAAGTGTGCATGAGCGTATTTGATAGGAATAAATGGAGACAAATGGTTTTTAATTCTTGACATGCTGTTGGAGTGTGAGCAAAGTAACATTTACGAAGGGATTCAGGGAAACCGGCAGGCCGGACTTGAGTCCTGGAGATGGGAAATACAGTGTCTACACTCTGAAGGAGGGGTGTTAATGTTGCAGTTTTATAACTGTAGTGTAAAGCACCCGTCTGGCAAGACAGTGATGGAGTGAATGATGATTTAAGTTTTTCTTTTTTTGGGCCACCCTGCCTTGGTGAGAATCGGCCGATGTGTTAATAAATAAATAAAAAAAATAGTACACTACTGCATAAACATTTAAAAATATACCAGAAATGTTATAAATGGTGCTAAAGTGACATTAAAATAATATCAAAGATGATTGACACAAACCCACCTACCATTATAATATGCTCCTCACTCAGTGATGAATTTGTTTACCAACGTGGTTTTACGAACAGAACCCCGTCATTAAGTGAGGAGATGCTGTATTACATTGTAACGAAAATGAAGATTAAGATCTTGGGCAGTTTGGAAGTTCAGCAATTAACTTAAACTCTATTGTTTATAAAAAGAAATTAGCTAAGCAGAATAATTTAATAAATTATTAAAATTTAATCAATTATTAAAATTCTTTTACATTTGCCTTGCAACTAAAACACTATAAAACTTACAGTATGGAGTAAGTACACGCAGGGTTTAGAATAAACTGGATGCTAGAGGAGGAATTATCATCAAGGCGTGGGATGTCAATCTCGGCAATGTAAGATACACCTGGACCGCTGAAAAACATATACTCTACAGTACAATTTGTCATAACTTGATAAAGACAGTCTGCGCAGGATAAACCTTTGACCACTGAAACATATGGCAGAAGATGGATAAAGTCTGGACCTTCTAGAAATCTGAGGTAGCTTTCATACACCAACTACAAGTGTGGCCATGCAGCTTCAAAAGTGGCCTCATCTGTCTGAGTTTCGAACTCTGCACTATGATCACTGAAGCTCAGATGATGGCATATCAAATGAACAATAATAGTAGAAGAGGACAGTGTTTTCTTCTCTGCTTCATGGCTGCTCCAGAGGTGGAACAGCCATAATACCGAGAACAAAACACTGTCCTTTTCTACCTTTATTATCCATGTAATATGCCATCATCTGAGCTTCACTGTACATAGTGCAAAGTCTGACCCACAGGCTGCATGGCCACATTTGTAATTGGTGTATGAAAGTCCAGACTTCAACCATTTGCTACTGTATGTTTCAGTGATCAAAAGTTTGTCCTGCAGCCAGTGTCATAACTGTCTGCACAGACTGTACAGTACTTGGATGTGAGTAAATCACAATAAATTTAAATTAAAGATAAGAAAACTATAGTGTAAACACAAATGTACTTAACATGTTAAGTTTGTCTGTTATAGAAGAGCAAAATAAAAATCTCAAACATTATTAATTCAAAATCTTCCCAATACATTTTCAAATCCTTCAATAACATGTTCTTAAGATTTAACTTGAATTACATTAACTTTTATCACATTAAATTCTTTACTATGCCTCAAGTTTAAAACTATTGTTTCCAATATATTTTACAGTGTAAATCCAGTCCAGTACTAAGGAAAGGTCAAGTTCATTCTACTGACTTCAACAAACGGTGTACAATTAGTAATTTAAGAAAATGTTAAGCCTTTCAGAGCATAAGAACATAAGAAAGAAGGAACACTGCAACAGGCCTACTGGCCTATGCGAGGCAGGTCCAATTCTTCTATCGGCTTAAGCTCACTGACCTAGTGATCTTAAGCTCACTGACAGTCTGACCTCACTGACCTAGTGAGGTCAGACACATCACTTAGAGGAGGAGCACAGCATCTGACCTAGTAGCACATGCTAGTTAGGTCCAACTCACACCGACCCACACCCACTCATGTATTTATCCAACCTATTTTTAAAACTACGCAATGTCTTAGCTTCTATGACGGTACTCGGGAGTTTGTTCCATTCATCCACAACCCTATTACCAAACCAGTGTTTTCCTATATCCTTCCTGAATCTGAATTTTTCCAATTTAACCCGTAAACGGTCCAAACGTATATATACGTTCTCTTGCGTAGTGCCTCAAATTTTTTGAGAAAAAAATAAATCATTTTTTTAATAGGAAAAAAGAGCATATGGTACCCAGGCATCCCCAATTATTTTAATATGGCACACAGTGAGTGCACACACCCCTTCTCTCATGTCTAGGCGACTCAAGGTTATCGTGGCAATGTTGAATGTATGACAAAATGTATATACGTATACGTTTGGGGCACTAGCTGTAAAAACGTATACATATATACGTTTGGACCGTTTACGGGTTAAAGCCATTGCTGCGAGTCTTGTCTATGTTAGATATTTTTAGCATGCGATTTACATCCCCTTTATTAATTCCTGTTTTCCATTTATACACCTCAATCACATCCCCCCCAATTCCACGCCTTTCTAGAGAGTGCAGATTCACGGCCCTCAGTCTATCCTCATAGGGAAGGTTTCTGATACATGGGATCAATTTTGTCATCCTCCTTTGTACATTTTTCAGTGCATTTATATCCATTCTGTAATATGGTGACCAGAACTTGCAGCATAATCTAAATGAGGCCTAACCAAAGATATCCAGAGTTGAAGAACAACCTGAGGACTTCTATTATTTATACTTCTTGCTATGAAGCCAAGGATTCTGTTAGCTTTATTGTGAACACTTATGCACTGTTGTCTTGGTTTCAGATTACTGCTAACCAGAATTCCTAAATCCTTTTCGCAATCTGTAATATTAAGATCTACGCTATTTAGTTTATATGTAGCATGGTTATTTTCCTGTCCAACATTTAGAACTTAGCATTTGTCTATATTAACTGCATCTGCCACTTCACCAACCACTGCATCAGTCTATTCAAATCATCCTGGAGTGCTCTAATCTCCTCATTAAAATGAATTGGACAGCCTATTTTGGTGTCATCAGCAAATTTGCTTATGTCGCTATTTATTCCCTCATCTATGTCATTTATGTAGATTGTAAACAACAAGGGGCCCAATACTGACCCCTGTGGAACACCGTTTGTAACATGCCCCCATTCTGATTTCTCCCCATTTATGCAAACTCTCTGCTGCCTCTTTGTCAACCATGCCTCTACCCAGGAAAAAATTTCTCCTATTCCATGTGCCTTAAGTTTCCTCAACAGTCTCTGATGTGGAACTCTATCGAAAGGCTTACTGAAGTCCATATACACAATATCATATTCATTACCATGATGTACCTCCTCAAATACCTTAGTGAAGAAAGTTAGCAATTCATAAGACAGGAACGCCCCTTTGTAAAACCGTGCTGAGAGTCATTAATCAATTTATGCCTTTCAAGATGGCTACGAATTGCTTCGGCAATTAGTGATTCCATAAATTTACCAACTATGGAAGTAAGGCTTATTGTTCTGTAGCTTGAAGCTAAGGACCTGTCACCTGCTTTGTAAATAGGTAGTACATTTGCCATTTTCCACTTGTCTGGCACTATGCCAGTTTGTAGTGATATATTGAAAAGATTAACCAACGGTATGCTAAGTTCCTCTTTACATTCCTTTTAAACCCTTGCAAATAGTTCATCAGGGTCTGGGGATTTGTTAGGTTTTAATTTCTCTATTTCTCTGAGGACCATGTCACTAGTTACCCTAATTGTGCTAGTTCATTATCATCCTGTTCTACATAATTTATTATTTCTGGAAGTAGGTACTGAAGTAGGTATTGAAAAGTTCACACATTTCCTTATCCCTGTCAGTGATCTGACCTGAGTTACTCTTAAGTAGGCCTATCTTGTCCCTGATCTTACTTTTGTATACCTGAAAGAAACCTTTTGGGTTAGTCTTCAAATCCCTTGTGACTTAAGCCTCATAATCCCTGTTTGCTTTTCTTATTCCTTTTTTTATTTCTCTCTTTAATTGAATATATTGATTTCCTAACAGTACTTTCCCTCTTTTGATATGCCTATATATGCCTCTCTTTTGACCAAGGAGATGTTTTAATCTATTGTTTATCCATCTGGGATCAGTTTTGTTAGACCTAATATCCCTACTCGGGACAAAAGTCGTCTGGGCAGCCAGCACTATGCTCTGAAATATGTCATATTGGCAACCAACTCTACCTACCTGACACACAGTAAGGTCTTCTCAATTTAGCCCACCCAGGTAATTTCTCATACTCATGAAATCGGCCAAGCGAAAATCTGTGACAGCGACTTTATTGCAAAATTCTGGGTAATTCCATGATATATTGAAACTAAGTGATTTGTGATCACTTTCTCCTAGCTCATCACTAACCTCAAGATTATTAACTAATGATTCTTTGTTGGCAAGAACAAATTCAAGCAGATTGTTTCCTCTAGTTGGTTTTGTCACAAACTGTTTTAAAAAGCAGTCTTGAGCTGTATCAAGAAAGTCACTAGACCCAAGATTTCCTGTCACATTGTTCCAATCAATTTGTCTAAAGTTGAAATCTCCCATTAACACAACATTTTTATATCTAGATGCCTTATGAATTTCGTCCCATAGCAGCCTACCACACTCCCTCTCAAGGTTTGGAGGCCTATAAATCACACCCAAAATTAATTTTTCACGACCTTCGAGAAACTGTATCCAAACAGATTCTGTGTCTGATGTTTCTAATCTTACACCTTGTCTAACACAACAGTTTAAATTATCTCTGACATAACTCACGAAATCATAACGACACAATTGCAAACAAACCATACCACGGGCGGGGTTAGAACCCGCGATCAAAGTCTCAAAACTTCAAACCGTCACGTTAGCCACTAGCCACTGGGAGAGTTTCGAGACTCTCTGATCGCGGGTTCTAACCCTGCCCGTGGTATGGTTTATCTCTGACATACATCGGCACTCCACCACCCTTCCTGTTGACCCTATCAGTGTGGAATAATTTATAACCCTGTATGTTGCATTCAGAAGGCATTTCTCTATCTTTCAAGTTGAACCAGGTCTCTGTTATAGCAATAATATCTTTATTACCTGCACTTGCAAGTAATCTTAGCTCATCTATCTTATTTCTTAGACTCCTACTATTTGTATAGTAAGTCATTCACAAAGAACTAGCATGTACTAACTAGGTACATCTTTTCACTAACCCCTTGCAACTTCCTTCCTGTAAGTTCCCCTTACAACTGTATTATCCATCCTTCTTTTTGTACAGCAAACCCCCAAAATTTGCAGGGATGTGATACAAGAAGCCTCAAGTTTAAAATCCATAAATAATGCAAATCTATGTCCAAATAATCAATTCTCTTTCAAATTTGGGCTGATTTTAATTTTAAAATGACATATGTATTAAAATATATTTCAAATACAGTATTGACATTCATAAAAAAGAATGGTGTTGGAAAGCCAAAAAGTTTTTTTTTTTTTTTTTTTGAACAAAAGCTCATGGTTAATTTTCAAATTAGAGGTGATGCAGAGAACTCAAAAGTAGTAGTGCTGTGAAACCCCCTCCCCCCCTAAATAATTAAAGCCATTTGTATGAGTCCCTTCCCTTCAGTAATAATGTATGTTAATCAAAATCCATGAACTTGCAGAGTAAACTGCAATACATGCATTACTACATTTTATATTGTGTAACTGCATTTCAATGAAGTAAAGTTATGATTTTATTAGTGAAAAAAATAGGCAGTATTTGCAAATTATATTATTGCAGCTCAATATTCATTGTAATAATTGCAATTTCCAATATCATTAGTTCACAAGAACATCCAAGAGAACTAACTATGCATAAACTCTTATAAAGCTATGTGATACATTCCATTTTTTTTTTTTTTGCCAATGCAATTAAAAAAGTGCATTCAAGATTGAATAGCACATATGTATTCTGAAAGCCCTGACACATGCTGTTCAATTTTGGAGGTACTTTTCAATTGCATTTACAAAACAAAATTATACTACATATATAGAGGAGCTTTATAAGAGCTTATGGTTTAACAGCTTTAAAGCAGTAAACATGCTTCTCATATTTGCACACTACACTCTAATATTCTACACTATCTTGGTGACAGACCTGTTCTGTAAAAAAAAAAAAAAAGTCTATAAGAGAAGATGTGCAGTGTATGGTACACCTTCAATGTATGTGGTGGATTCAGCTGAGCTAAAGGCATGACAGCAAACAAGTTGACTGCCTTTGTCCAAGTCTGTATCCTGAAAACTGTACATTGTTTATATATGTGATGGATCCTTGATAATAACCAACTGGTCACAACATATGACACCTGAAAGTGAGCTTTGCCACAACATTGATACTTGTAATATATACAGTCATCACCATACATCAAGTATTTGTGGATTAACAAAATTAATGAAACTCGACTTTAATTACAGTAAGTGGCATGCACTTATTAAGTATTACAGCTTGATACAGTATTCAATGGAAATGTTGGTGAAACTCGATGATAGGTTCAAAAGAATTTTCCAAAAAGATAATTTGACTTGTGCATGGCTATATAAAAATGTTTTTGGGACTGAAAGGATGCCTTTCAACATATGATCAAGACAGACTTCCATTAAACTCTCTCCATTTTCCATAATTCTTTCTAATGTAGCTTTCTGCTCTCCAGACACTTCTCACTTATCTTATTTTTTTTTACTTTGTTAGCAAATATTTTTTCTTAATTACTGCTCTTTTACTACACGATATCTCTCCCAATCCTCATATGATATACATATGACTCATGGAACATGTCCACACACCATGTTTTCAATAAAACAGGAATGAAATATTTTCAAAGCCCACATTGCATGGGAAAAACCTAATTTACTCCAGAGTATCCTTTAAATTAAGAAAAAAAAAAAAAAAAAAGGTTCAGTCCATGCTGCATGTCAGATCCCATTAGAACATGCCATGGGATATTTCCCCTCTACCTGCAAAGCCCTTGTTTTTAGGAGTACGAAGTTTAATTTTAGTATTTCATGTAAACAAACACCCATATTGCAAGTTGCTGTATGCATGTATCCAATACTTTACCCAGCTGCATGTTGTTCAATCAACTGTCAGTCTTTTCATCAACCCCATCTTCTCTGGATATTAACCATGGCACCCAAGACGAGATAAACCAGTGATGGTGAAAATTAAGTATGGATCTCTGGCAGTTCAAAAGAAAAATTGAAGTTTTGTTTTAGAAGTATGTAGTGAAGATGAGAGGCAGTGAAGGCTAGTAAACAGTAATTGCATTTTAATTACACATCCTTGTGCCTGTATAATTGTTGAATATCTTGGCGATTGATATTATGGTGAGAAAAAGCTATTAAATGAGAAAGTACTATAGTAAAGCTTGCCTGAAATGCTCTGCATAACCATGGAATTTCTACATGCTTTCAAGTGTCACCCATTTCTCTGTAAACAATGTTTCATGTAGAAATAAAGTTGAATTGCATTGAATTGAACTGAATGATATTCAGTGTGAAGCAACTACGTAGTGTTGAAGGTTTCTGAAGTCACCAGGTTGAGTCGTATTGAGCCTTACCCATTGTCTATGGAAGGAATGCCCTATGCATTTTCTGTGAAAAGCATAGACACCAAGTCAACATTATTTTATACCCAGGTCTTAATTATAAATGGTTGTGGTAGGCAATGGTGCTTATGAAGGACTGCATTAAATCTTTTCCACACACTTGCATATAAACAACCATCAGCAAACAGAAACTTAGGTAAGATAAAGTTAATAAAGTTAGTTCCTTTGACTTTTTAAATTATTTTCAAAAAGCTTTTTTTTTTTTTTTTGAGGTCCCAAGAAAGTAAACCGATTTTTTCCCACATTTTCTTCAGTCCACATAACACAGATGTCACATACAACACTGTTTTCAGATATGTAACTGTGTTATGAATCTACTCTATTTTAATCTTACTTTTGTGAACTTACAATCCTAACTCTAGAATAATACAATTTTCTTACCTATTCTGCAAGTAAAACTCTTTCTGGACCCACGGTAAGTACATCTTAGCCATAGGAACATTCTCTGTTGCACAAGCTGAACGAGGACGAAGAATTAGTTTGAACGACTGCCACATGTCTTCTAAACCTCTAAGAGTTACATTGTAAGACAGAGCTTTTTGAGGAGTTGTATCCACAATTAAAGTCTGTATGAAAGAGCGAAAAAAAGCTGGTACATCGATGGTCCTCTGCCGTCCGGTCTTGCTGTGCACATCGATGGCAATCTCCACCTGTAAGAAGAAAAACAATTAGCTATTACTAGGAAACTAACTACACAACTAGTTATCTGCTTCTTAAGGGGCCTTAAAAGTGAGGTCAAGCATGCTTCTAACCCCTTTTTCACAGGCCACATGCTTCAGTATTTATCACTATACATTTATGGGGGAACACTAAACCCATAGAGATAATACAGCACTTGGAGGAATAGGAGGCATTCAGACTCAAAAGTACAGTATTTGGAGATATGAATGCAAGCAAATGTCAAGATGGTATAGACACAGACTTGACACCAGCATGTACCTTAATGAGAGTGACATATTTATTATAATCCCAAATTTTTCATATTATGAAAACACCTTTATCCTACATATAATGACTGCATGCCCTTAAAACAGGCTGTGGGGGTTGAAAAGCTCTCAAAAATGGTCACAAGCAATGCTGATCTGTAAGATGATTTGCTTGGGTATGGTTGGATTTGTAAGATGATTTGCTTGGGTACAGTTGGATTTGTAAGATGATTTGCTTGGGTACGGTTGGATTTGTAAGATGATTTGCTTGGGTATGGTTGGATTTGTAAGATGATTTGCTTGGGTATGGTTGGATTTGTAAGATGATTTGCTTGGGTATGGTTGGATTTGTAAGATGATTTGCTTGGGTATGGTTGGATTTGTAAGATGATTTGCTTGGGTATGGTTGGATTTGTAAGATGATTTCCTTAGGTATGGTTGGATTTTACAACACTAACATGCGAGGTCTGGGACACATGAAATAAATGCCAAAATGATGAAGTGAGCAAGCTAAAGAAAGAAAAGTAAGATCACATTAAATACAGCCTCTCCTCACTTAACGACGGAGTTCTGTTCCTAAAACCACGTTGGTAAATGAATTCGTTGCTAAGTGAGAAGCATACTATAATGGTAGTGGGTTTGTGTCAACCATCTTTGATATTGTTTTAATGTTACCTCTGCACCATTTATAACATTTCTGGTATAATTTTAAATGTTTATACAGTAGTGTACTGCATATTGTAGTGAATAGAATAGAGGAAATCAGCCCTAATATACTGTGGTACCCCTAGTTTCGGCCATAATTCATTCCAGAAGGCTATTCGAGTGCCGTTACTGAACGAATTTGTTCCCATAAGGAATAATGTAAACTAGACTAGTCCGTTTCAGACCCAAAAATACACTTACAAAAGCACTTACAATAATACACTTATATAAATGTTCGAGTTGGGAGCTGTACAAAATTCGGGGTACCACTGTACATTATTTAGGTATGCATACTGTCAGAGAGCCCATCATAAGTCCGAGTCGTTGGTAAATGAGTATGTCACTAAGTGAGGAGAGGCTGTATTGTGAAACAGACTCACCTTGCAACTGTATTACATTTTGATACTCATAGAAGACGCACTATAGATCATGTGGGAGGCATTATAAGTTCATGTTACATGCATGGGGAAGGGGTAAGCATTAAACCCTTAACCCTTTCAGGGTCCAGAGGCCAAATCTCAGAGTGACAGCTAGGAGCCAAGAAGTTTGAAGAAAAAAAAAAAAAAAAAAAAAAAAAAAAAAAAAAAAAAAAAAAAACTTACAGAATTAAAGATAATACAGTGGACCCCCGGTTTACGATCACCTCCCAATGCGACCAATTATGTAAGTGTATTTATGTAAGTGTGTTTGTACGTGTATGTTTGGGGGTCTGAAATGGACTAATCTAATTCTTATGGGAACAAATTCGTTCAGTAATGGCACCTGAACATACTTATGGAATGAAATAATATCGTAAACCGGGGGTCCACTGTATGTTTCTATAGGTAATAAAACAAAAAAAAAAATTCTGATCAGTAGTTTCCAAGATATAGAAGTGTGAAGTTGACCCTCAATGACCAGGTGACAGCAACATCCGCCACTTTTGTAAAGTAGCATTTTTTTTACCGTTTTGTTCCTTTTTTTCTTTTCTAATTTTTTTTTTCCAGGAACGTTTGTGACCTGTGAGACCAATATAATGCATAATGTATATATGTACACTCATTGTATTCAACACAATAACCACACTAATATTTTCATCATTATTTTGTTTGCAATACAGTGGTCCCTCGATAATCGTCGGGCTTGATAGTTGTCCTTTTCGGAAATTGTCGTGTTATTTTCGTCCAAACATTGGCTCGCAAATGGTCGGTTGACTCGCTAATCATCGTTCATCCTGGACGTGTACTCACGGCTATGAGCCGCCTCGGCCTCCCTTCCCAGCCAGTGTGCCATTGTTTACCAGTGAGCGACGGTCCCATCACTTGTTCATACGAAATATTTCATAATATTCCATTCATTTTAGTGCTTGCAAGTGCTAAATAAGCTACCATGGCTCCAAAGAAAGCTCCTAGTGCCAAGCCTTTGGTAAAGAAGGTGAGAAATACGATTGGGGGGAAAAAAAAGAATTCCCCCAAAATGCTGACGGATGTGTCTATAAGATTCCTTGTAAAATTTGCGATAAAGTTTATTAGGGTCAAACTGGTAAAAGTCTCGAACTAAGATTAAAACAACATAAATATAGCATTAAAACTGGGCAAGATTCCAATGCTTTATTTATTCATGTGAGAGATTTTAACCATCCAATTGATTTTCAAAAAGTTGAGAAAGTTGCATCAAGCAAGTCCATGGTCGACAGGAATATAATTGAATCTTGTTTCATAAAAAGCAGTTTTGACAATAATATGAATATTTCCTTTGGTTTATATAAATTAGTTCCATTTATAATTAATAGAATTTGGGAAGAATTTAATAATACATTGGACAAATAATAAATTTTAAAATTCTTATTTCTTGGGTAGAATAGTTTGTTCGTGGGTTGTGTGAAGGACCTGTTTAGTTGGGCCAGTGGGCCTGCTGCAGTGTTCTCTTTCTTATGAGTTGCACATTAGGTGTTGCTTTGTTGTGGGATGTGATAGTGAGGTGTGGTCTAGACCCTTTATATGCCTTCTTTTGATGCATTACTTTTATTGTTCCTTGACAATGTGAGTAGTCACGAAAGCGCTTGGAATTTCTCTGTTCTTTCACAGTGGTTCTTTTGCATATTCTGAAATCGCCTGTTTACTGTGATCTTATTGCATATTTACATATGTACAGTCACTGGACATGTTCCTAGAACTGCTACAGTCTGTGAAAGTCTTTGAAACAAGGTGTCATGCACAGTGGTGTCATACTCATCTGTGGACCAGTATGATTTTATATTATGCTTATAGACATGAGGCATAAGCATTATTGTTGCAAAAAACAAATACATTTCAGCCACAGTTGTCTACCCCAATGGAAATAAGTCACTCTGTCTGACTTTTTTGGGTTATCCTAGGTTTTCTACACATATGCTGCTATGTATGATAATTCTATATAACTGTATTTGTGTATACCTGAATAAATTTACTTACTTACTTACTTCCACTAGTGGATGACAATGCACTTTGTCCTGGAACTGCTGAGTCAGCAGCATGGGTCCCAGACTCACTCCCAGTCTGGCCTGGTGTCACATGCTGCACACTCGCATGCTGCATGCTGGTGGCACCACCACCACCTACTGACGCATGCGGACAATCCATCCCAATTGCAGCCACATCATCGTCACTTTCACTGTCTATTCCAGGTGTAGGGCTATGGGATGTACTCAGTCCCCTTGGAATTGCATATGGTATAGGGTATCATATGGTAAGCACATTGTACCATATGGTACAGATACAGGGACCCCAATGGAAGTAAGTCACTGACTTTTTTGGGTTATCCTAGGATCTTTACACATATGCTTTACACACAGTTACATAGATTATCATGCTGCTACGCATGATAATCTATGTAACTTAATCGAGCGCATATAGCATCGTAAGTAAGTTTATTCAGGCATACACAAATACAGTTACATAGATTATTATACATAGGAGCATATGTGAGGAGAACCTAGGATAACCCAAAAGAGTACCGAGATGGTGTTCCCACAATGCAATGCGGGTGCCCCAATTTTTTGTTTACTGCACACACTGACCACGCAAACCAATTCTCTTAGATGTAGGCCTACCAGCCTTCTCGCTCTAAATTTGAAGCCGCTAGAATTTTGGCATAAATCTACAGCTTGGACCCTGGCTTCAAAGCCATAGATCTATGGGACAGACCCCTGAAAGGATTAAGGATCATAACAAAGCCTTAGGGACAGGTGGTAATCAGGTTTGATCCAAGGAGAGGTAGGTCAATTCCAATTCCTTGGATCAAGAGTCACTCACCATAGAGATTTAGGTTTCACTTACCAAAAACAACTTGGTAAAAAATAAAAGAATACATAAGTTTGGAAATTACATTTAATCAGACTCACAGTATATGGAGAAACAGGTGTAAATAAACATTCAACAGTAGTTAAAAGATAGTTGAAACTGTATTAATTAAAAAAAACATCAATTCTTCAAAGTAAATCACACAATTACTCACCCTTTCATCTGTAGCAGGAATGCTTACAATGATGTGTGTATGACCAGTTGCACCAAGGGACTCCAGGTCCAGCTCCACAGTCTTCATTTTACCCTTTAACTTCTTTGTATAGTTCGAAAGGTTCTCTCCTGTCAAGCTACAGGAGACAATTATATATGTATTTACAGTGTGCATTTTTATTTTTAACACTCCAGCCATCTCCCACCAAGGTAAAGTGACCCAACATTTTCACTGTCACTATTTCAATCATTAGTGATTCTTGTGAGCAGACCCCTTCAGGAAAAAATGGAAATATGTAATAGGAAAAGAGGGTAGATACTATTTAGCAGTATAACCATACTAGCAAACTATCCATATTACATAGAAGAGCATTGTTTCAATAGTTTTATACACTAGTTGTGAAAAACTATAGAATTTTTTATAAAAATATTATGAATCATCATCTGTCTTTCTGTCTTCCTGCCACACTTCACCTTTTCAATTCTGTTAGAGAGATGTTCTACACCAAATGTATGTATGTGTGTGAGTGAGAGAGAGCGAGAGAGAGAGCGAGAGAGTGAGAGAGCCAGAGAGAGAGTGAGAGAGCCAGAGAGAGAGAGACAGAGACAGAGAGAGAGAGACAGAGAGAGACAAAGACAGAGAAAGAGACAGACAGACAGAGACAGAGAGAGATAGGTAGGTTTTTATGATTTGACATACTGTTGGAGTGTGAGCACAGTAACATTTATGAAGGGATTCGGGGAAGCCAGTTAGCCAGACTAGAGTCCTGGAGGTGAAAAGCACAGTGCCTGTACTCTGAAGGAGGGGTGGAGATGTTGCAATTTGGAGGGTCACATGAACTGTGATATCAGGACCCTTCTGTCAACACAGTGAATGAATGAGTGACAACAGAAGTGTTATCTTCTTTGTCAGGTCACCCTGTCTTACTGGGAGACAGCCAGTGTGGTAAAAAAAAATAATGAAGCTCTCACATGCATTTTTTAATAATGGTAATTACCTGTTTGCATTTTTTCTATTTATATTGAAGCTAACCGAGTTGTTAATTATCAAAACATCAAGAAACAGTAGTTTACCGCTACCCTCCCATTCAACCTTGAGTCTGATGCTAGGAATTAAGGAGTCTAACCTGTCAAAATCTTTAGAAAGCCCCCCAAGCATTTTTTTAACAAGCTGATATATCAAACTTATTTAAGACACATCATATATCATGTCATATACAGTAGCTTGATTTGGAGGAGGATACCTGTCTTGAATTAGTCCATGTACAAAACAAAGAAAGATGGCTGTACATACTCCACCTATTTTAACACTAAAATTTACTCTGAAAGTGAGAGAAAATGTTTGAATACACTCACATGTTTATTCAACAATTTGCTCAATGGTTAAGGGGAGTTCATAATGGAAATTTATAATTTTTTCTTAAAGAAATGATAGTACCTCTTCTACAGTGACTTTCATGATGAAAGATTTGGCATCCAAACTTACCTTCCATTATTTAAATCAACATATATGATTTAGTTTTTTTTTATGAAGTCTTCCAAGTATTTAATATAAGAAACATAAAGGTTAGTTAGCCACTTATTAAGCTTATAGAAGAAATAAAGAAGAAAATTATTAGAATTAATAACTATTGAGTTTTGAGTAGGACACAGAAAAGTGACCTTGAGTTTGTAACTTTACAATGAATAGTTTGTTATCGTTTCTCTTGTTACCAATGTTTCCAATTTTCTTATTCAAATAGGCAAAACCAAGAGGGAATCTTTATTAAGCTTTTCATATGTGTAAGAATCAGATTAAAGGGTCCTTTTTTCATGTACATAAAACATTCACTTTTATTAAACTTAACTGTTATGTTACATTTGTCTGCTTTAGTGATAATATCCTTTTTGAAGTATGAAATGCCTGAGTAATTAGGAAAGCATTTATGAACTGCTTCCATCAGATTTTCTAGGTAGAACAACTTCTTGTAGCTATTATTTCCCAGAAATTTGTTGAAATCTACTACAAAATCGAATGTATTTTTTATATTAGTTATCATAATCAAGTTACAACAAAAGGTGAGCAATTCAATTTTATATTTATTCATTGAATTACTCTGCTTTGATTATTAGTTTTAAAAAATATTTGGGGAAGCCAGAGTACTGTTCAAAAATAAATACAAGTCCTTTGATCTCCAAGTGTAGCTTACTCGGTTGCACGACTATTACAATGTGAGTGCTGAAGAAAAAACTCCACAATGCTGATGGAGATGTACCAAATTATTTCCAGATTACAGTCACAGGAAGACATCATAATAAGCTTGGATCCATTTTGTTTGATTCCTCCACAGAAACCATTCATGGGAAACCGTATCTCAAGAAAATTCCACTGCCATAGATCTATGACTCACTAGGTCTGGTATCTAACTCCTAGGATATACACATCAATACACACTAAAAAAAAAAAAAAAAAATCAATAATGAACCTCAGACTTACCAAATCCGATTCCCTTTGTGTACATAATTAGCGTTACAAGCTGCGACCCAGTGCTTATTGTCTAAGTTTGTTGCAACGATAGCTGCTTCGTGATATAACTGATGGCCAGGGTTCAGAGGGATCATGAGGTACGTTCTAGAGGGTGTTGTTTGAGCTATGTGAGTGTGCTGCCTTTTCACTATTTCATTCCAGTCTCCTTCCTTGTTCAACTCAATTGTGGGAGAGTAAAAGGAACTCTTGTAGCGTTTTCCAGTGATTCTCTGAAAAGATACATTCACGCCACTTCTTTAATTTGTAATTTTTTCCCCACAAAGGCATGGTGATCCAAGGAAGAAAACACATTTTCCATCACTTACCCCTCAGCTGTCTTTCCAAAAAGGTACAGACTGCATGATTCAATACTGACCCATCAATGCCCAACATCCCACCTGACTTACAAAGCTTGTTCACTGTACTTCTTAATTTGAAACTCAAGTGCAGTTAACCAGTTTGCCCTGAATCTCTGCACAAATTTTATCATGCTCAACCTCCAACAGCAAGTAAAATCTTTAAATATTTTTCTCCATGCACTTTTATTTAATATTCAAGCTACTACCACAGTCTCCTATTTTTTATTCTTTATCCTGTGCAGAAAGGGGTAAGGGATACTTTGAGTGCTAGGGGCTTGGACATCCAACAGGCTTGTGTGAGCATGTTAGATAATAGGAATGAGTGAAGGCAAGTGGTTTTTATGAATTGACGTTATGCTGAAGTGTGAGCAAGGTAACATTGATGATGAGATTCAGGGAAACCAATTAGCCAGATTTGAGTCTTAAGCAAGGGTGGCATGTTGCAATTCAGAAGGATATCCGAGCTGTGATGTTTACATGCTTTTGATAAGACGGTCATTGAATGACTGATGGTGAAAGTGTTTCTTCATTTTCAGGTCACCCTACCCTGGTGAGAGATGGCCACTGTGTTAAAAAAAAACAAAAAAATCTTATTATTCTCTCCATTCTTCTACATCCTTACTCAGCATTTTGTCACATTCTTGTCCTAACACTCAAGTTCATTTATTCCCTAGACTTTTATAATCACTCTTTCCAAAACGAGTCATATTCTCATTAATTCTTTCATTTATTCTTTAGACAAAGTTGGGGGATGTGTAAGGACATAACAAATGTTAATGGAAATTCACAAACCTTAGAGAGATGATACTCAAAGACATCAGTAATGAGCTTTCTGCTAGTCGTGAGCCTTAATGTGTTTGGATCAACACAGTCAAACAAAGCTCGTACAATGGCTAACACTAGCTGTCTGCACCAAACAATAGCCTGGTGGTCAGTGGTCATCCAACATGAAGGCACCTGTTAAGGAGACAAGAAGAGATCAGTTGTAAAATATTGTAATCTAATTTTTTTTAATAAACTGGCTGTCTCCCACTGAGGCAGGGTGAACCACAAAAAGAAGAAATACCTTTACCACCAATCACTCCATCAGTCTTGCCAGAGGGATGCCAATACTACAGTTCAAGACTGCACTGTACTTCCCAACTCCAGGACTTACGTTCAGCTAACCGGTTTCCCTGAATCCCTTCATAAATGTTACCTTCAACACATTCCAACAACATGTCAAGTCATAAAAAATATTTGTCCCCACTCATTCCTATGTAAAACAAACACACACACACACACACACACAGGAACCATACATAGTTTTAAGAAGAGGTATGACAAAGCTCGGGAAGCAGAGAGGGAGAGGACCTAGTAGCGATCAGTGAAGAGGCGGGGCCAGGAGCTGAGTCTCGACCCCTGCAACCACAATTAGGTGAGTACGTACACACGTACACACGCACACACACAGGAGCTTGGACTCGACCCCTGCAACCTCAACTAGGTGAGTACACACACACACACACACACACACACACACACTTGCTGTATGTCTAAACCCCCTCATTCAAAACTTCCTTTACCCCTTCTCTCTCCAACCTATCCTAAGATGACCCCTACCTTGCCTTCCCTCCACTACATGTTTACACACCATTCAAGTCATCCTATTTTGCTCCATCCTGCCTAAATGTTCAAACCACTTCAATAACCCCTCCTCAGCTCTCTGGGTAATACTTAGTAACTTGGCACCTCTTTCTACTCTCTAAACTATGAATTGTTTGCATAATATTCACATCACACATTGCCCTCAGCCAACAACATCTCTACTACCTCCAGCCTTCTCCTTGCTGAAACATTCAAAACCCATGCTTTATACATATAAGTGATGGTACCACTATACAGACAGGCCCCACTTTACAGCGCTTCGCTTTACATCGTTTTGCTCATGTGGTGGTTTTCAAATATATCCATTCTTCATTTATTCAGACTTCCTACAAAAAATGTATTCACCACTCGCTACAGCTAAGGATGAAAATATTTTAGGGGATGTAATGTGTGTACATTTTTTAGGCCTAGCTCTATTGGCTTACTTAATATTTGATAGTGTAAACATGTTATCAAGCTTTTATATGAATTTGAAAGTGGAAAAAAAGGCTATGATTCACTTTACAGTGATTTCCGCTTTACAGCAGTAGTCTGGAATTTAACCTGCTGCATAAATGGGGCCTGGCTGTAATCTGATATATTCCCATTTTTGCTTCCATGGATAATGTTCTCTGTCTCTACAGAAGCCTCAGTGCACCATCCACCTTTTTCCCCTTGTCAATTCTCAAATTCTGAATCAGTGGTCTCTCTAGAAACTCCACCACAGTGAATTTGGAATTTTTACTGTATATAGGAAGATGATGTTCAGCAAACACTTTTTTTCATTATTTATATATTAATTATTACTGTTGCTTTACTTGCATTTACAAACTACAAAATTTGGAGACAAAAATATTAGAATAACTGAGGATCACAACTGCCCAGGGAGGTACTACACTCCAGCCAAGTGAGTGTGAAATGGAAGCCTGTAATTGTTTTACATGATGGTAGGATTGCTGGTGTCTTTTTTCTGTCTCATAAACATGCAAGATTTCAAGTACATCTTACTACTTCCACTTACACTTAGGTAACACTGCACATGCATAGACAAGTAGTATATATATATAGACATGCCCCTCTGGGTTTTCTTCTATTTCCTTACAGTTCTCCTTGTTGTTTATTTCCTCTTATCTCCATGGGGAAATGAAACAGAATTCTTCCTCAGTGAGCCATGCGTGTCGTAAGAGGCAACTAAAATGCCGGGAGCAAGGGGCTAGCAATCCCTTCTGTATATATTACTAAATTTAAAAGGAGAAACTTTTGTTTTTCCTTTGGGCCACCCGCCTTGGTGGGATACGGCCAGTTTGTCGAAAGAAGAACTGAGGATCAAGAGGTGTTTTGTTTAATAAGACAAATTTAATTAAGTAGTTTTTTATTTTTATAAATTTTGCCATAACTTTTGTTTTTCTTTTTAGGTCACCCTGATTTAGTTGGATGTGGCCAGTTTGTTGAAAAAAGACAAAAAAAATTGCCATGCAGTTAGCCATAGTTTGGATGAAAAATCTGTCTTAAGGATACATTTAAACTTACATTAGTGGTAGTAGTTGCAACATCAGCAAGAGGTGTGATGGTGTGAGAGGTTGGCACTTGAACATCATTTCTAGCACCTCCAATAGATACCAAGACGACATCCTTTAAGTCCAATGAACGTTCCATAATCCAATATGTGTTTACCTAAAAATAAATAATAAATTACAAATACTGTAATGGGAAGAAGTAGTAAAATAATAATACAATACCTAAAAGATAATTAATAATGGATGCTTTCCCACTTCACAGTGTCTCAGGCATTTGAAAGTCAATAAATAATGCAATTTGTGTCAAATGCTACATATATTGTGAGGAATCCCAGTACATGTGCATCACCACAGAGATCAAGGGTTTTCAAGCCCAACAGCACACTGTAGGATTCCAAAGCATATATAGTAGATCCCTGCTTATACAACAGGTTAGGTTCAGGGATAATGTTGTAAAGCAAAAATCACCGTAAAGTGAAACATAGCCTTTTTTTTTACTTTCAAATGCATACAAAAGCCTCATAACATGTTTACACTATCATATATTAAGTGAGTAATAGAGCTAGGCTTTAAAAATGAATATACAGTACACACATTACTTGCCTTAAAATATTTTCATTCTTAGCTTAGAGAATAGTGAATATATTTATTGTAGGAAGGCTGAATAAATGAAGAATGGGTATAATTGAAAACCACTGCACTAGCAAAATGCTGTAAAGTAGGGCCCTCCTGTATGGCGTTTCGCCATACGATGTTCTGCTAATACGGCGATTTCAAATTATGACCAGAACTTGCTATACAGCAAGCGATCTTTCTAATACGGCACGCTCCACCTGGTTTGTTTACATTCTCCATGAGCACATCTCGCTATTATGTCCAGAAACTTTCCAAAATTTCAAGTGTTTTAAAGTTATTGCATATTTTATATGTACTCTGATAATTATACTTATGTGTACCTATACCTAAATATACTTACACACTGTGCTGGCATGCAGGTATACATTAAAATCACTAAGAGTCTCTCTAATCTTGACACCATATTAATAATACGTTATCTCTTGGGCATATTAAATGTCATATATTTATTACATTAGTATAGACATTTCCATTAATCCATCTATGAAATTTTTTTTCAAAATTACAGTATATAATAAGCATGATCAATACATCCCACAATAGAATAAATTAACATAAATATGAGATGTGATAGCCAGGCGACTTGTAGTCCAACATCAGAGAAAATGTGTACTGGGGGTAACTAGAATATTATTCCTTTCGTATGTAAGTAAGTAAGTTTATTCATGTATACACAAATACAGTTACATAGATTATCATACATAGCAGCACGTGTGTAGAGAACCTAGGATAACCCAGAAAAGTCAAAGTGGCTTATTTCCATATGCCTTCACTCAGTGTTATTCTTCTAAAAATGGTGTTACATGAGAATGGGAGCGTTTCTCTTTATTTATTCTACTGTATCAACATGATGCCAACTTATACACAATGTAAAGTGTTTGTATGGAAATAAGTCACTGTGATTTTTTGGGTTATCCTAGGCTCTCTACTCATATGCTGCTATGTATGATAATCTATGTAATTGTATTTGTGTATATCTGAATAAACTTACTTAATTATGGTATAATACAAATGTAAACAAACCAGACGCGTTCGCCTGATTTGTTTACATTACGTGTGGGTAGGATGGAGTGAGGAGGGCTGCCCTGGCTGGCTATCATACTTCACAAACCTGACTTCCTAGAAATATAACTCACCTCTCACCGTACATTAAGACTACAAATATTTTAAGGTAAGTAATGGGTGTACTGTGTGTGTATTTTACTTTTTATTGTTTTTAATGCCTAGTTCTATTACTAACTTAATATATGTTAGCATAAACTTTTTATCTGGCATTTGTATGCCTTTACAAGTGGAAAAAATGGAGTTCTGCTTTCCGGCAATGTCTACTTTCCGGCAGTAGCCTGGAACCTAACCTGCCGTATAAGTGGGGCCCTACTGTATATGTATATCTAAGCAATTTGTGTAAGTCATTACCAACAAATATATAAAAAATCTGATGCCAAACATTACAATTAAAAATTTCCAAGCAATTCTGCTCAGCAGTGTTGAGATAAGAGAAAAACAAACATTGGGAATATGTATGTATAATTACAGGTAATGTAGTTCCATAATTTGTCACCAAAAACCAGACAGCTCCAAACCAAGGCTCACACTGAATATATATTAATCTGAAGAACATCAGGTCACACTCTTCAGATTGCTTTTTTTTTTTTTAACAAGTCGGCCATCTCCCACCGAGGCAGGGTGGCCCAAAGAGAAAAAAAAGTCCCCAAAAAGAAAATACTTTCATCATTCAACACTTTCACCTCACTCACACATAATCACTGTTTTTGCAGAGGTGCCTAGAATACAACAGTTTAGAAGTATATACGTATAAAAATACACAATATATCTCTCCAAACTGCCAATATCCCAAACCCCTCCTTTAGAGTGCAGGCATTGTACTTCCCATTTCCAGGGCTCAAGTCCGGTTGTATCAAATAACTGGTTTCCCTGAATCCCTTCACTAAATATTACCCTGCTCACACTCCAACAGCTCGTCAGGTCCCAAATACCATTTGTCTCCATTCACTCCTATCTAACACGCTCATGCACGCTTGCTGGAAGTCCAAACCCCTCGCCCACAACACCTCCTTTACCCCCTCCCTCCAACCTTTTGGAGGATGACTCCTACCCCGCCTTCCTTCACCTACAGATTTATATGCTCTCCATGTCATTCTACTTTCATCCATTCTCTCTAAATGACCAAACCACCTCAACAAACCCTCTTCAGCCCTCTGACTAATACTTTTATTAACTCCACACCTTCTCCTAATTTCCACACTCCGAATTTTCTGCATAATATTTACACCACACATTGCTCTTAGACAGGACATCTCCACTGCCTCCAACTGCCTCCTTGCTGCAGCATTTACAACCCAAGCTTCACACCCATGTAAGTGTGTTGGTACTACTATACTTTCATACATTACCTTCTTTGCCTCCATAGATAACATTTTTTACCTCCACATATACCTCAATGCACCACTCACCTTTTTTCCTTCATCAATTCTATGATTATCCTCATCCTTCATAAATCCATCCGCTGACATGTCAACTCCCAAATATCTGAAAACATTCACTTCTTCCATACTCCTCCTCCCCAATTTGATATCCAATTTTTCTTTATCTAAATCATTTGATACTCTCATCACCTTACTCTTTTCTATGTTCGCTTTCAACTTTCTACCTTTACACACATTCCCAAATTCGTCCACTAACCTTTGCAATTTTTCTTTAGAATCTCCCATAAGCACAGTATCATCAGCAAAAAGTAACTGTGTCACTTCCCATTTTGAATTTAATTCCCCATAATTTAATCCCACCCATCTCCCGAACACCTAGCATTTACTTTTCTTACAACCCCATCTATAAATATATTAAACAACCATGGTGACATTACACATCCCTGTCTAAGACCTACTTTCACCGGGAAGTAGTCTCCCTCTCTTCTACATGCCCTAAACTGAGCCTCACTATCCTCATAATAACTCTGTACAGCATTTAGTAACTTACAACCTATTCCATGTATGTACTTACATTTGCCACATTGCTCCCCTATCCACTATCATATGCCTTTTCTAAATCCATAAATGCAATAAAAACTTCCCTACCTTTATCTAAATACTGCTCACATATATGCTTCAATGTAAACACTTGATCTACACATCCCCTACCCACTCTAAAACCTCCTTGCTCATCCGCAATTCTACATTCTTTCAATAATAACCCTGGTATATTCAGTAAACTTATTCCTCTATAATTTTTACAATTTCATTTGTCCCTCTTCCCTTTATATAAAGGGACTATACATGCTCTCCACCAATCCCTAGGTACCTTCCCCTTTCATACATTTATTAAACAAAAATACCAACCACTCCAACACTATGTCTCCCCCTGCTTTTAACATTTCTGTCATGATCCTGTCAGTTCCAGCTGCTTTACCTCCTTTCATTCTACATAATGCCTCACGCACCTCCCCCACACTCACATCCTGCTCTTCTTCACTCCTAAAAGATGGTATACCTCCCTGGCCAGTGCATGAAATTACCGCCTCCCTTTCTTCGTCGACATTTAAAAGTTCCTCAAAATATTCTCGCCATCTACCCAATACCTCCATCTCCCCATCTACTAATTCTCTACTCTATTTTTAACTGACAAATCCATTTGTTCCCTAGGCTTTCTTAACTTGTTTAACTCACTCCAAATTTTTTTCTTACTTTCATTAAAATTTCTTGACAGTGCCTCTCCCACTCTATCATCTGCTCTTCTTTTGCACTCTCTCACCACTCTCTTCACCTTTCTTTTACTCTCCATATACTCTACTCTTCTTATAACACTTCTGCTCTGTAAATACCTTTCATAAGCTATCTTTTTCTCTTTTATCACACCCTTTACTTCATCATTCCACCAATCACTCCTCTTTCCTCCTGCACCCACCCTCCTATAACCACAAACTTCTGCCCAACATTCTAATACTGCATTTTTAAAACTACTCCAACCCTCTTCGACCCCTCACTACTCATACCTGCACCAGCCCACCTTTCTGCCAATAGTTGCTTATATTTCACCCAAACTTCCTCCTCAGTTTATACACTTTCACCTCCCTCTTACTTGTTGATGCCATTTTCCTCTTATCCCATCTACCTCTTACTCTAACTGTAGCTACAACTAGATAATGATCCAACATATCAGTTGCCCCTCTATAAACATGTACATCCTGGAGCCTACCCATCAATCTTTTATCCACCAATACATAATCTAACAAACTACTTTCATTACATGCTATATCATGCCTTGTATATTTATTTATCCTCTTTTTCATAAAATATGTATTACTTATTACCAAACCTTTTTCTACAAATAGCTCAATTAAAGGCTCCCCATTTTCATTTACCCCTGGCACCCCAAATTTACCTACTACTCCCTCCACAACATTTTTACCCACTTTAGCATTAAAATCCCCAACCACAAGTACTCTCACACTTGGTTCAAACCTCCCCATGCATTCACTCAACATTTCCCAAAATCTCTCTCCTCTATACTTCTCTCTTCCCCAGGTGCATATACACTTACTATAACCCACTTCTCACATCCAACCTTCATTTTACTCCACATAATCCTTGAATACATTCATAGTCCCTCTTTTCCTGCCATAGCTTATCCTTCAACATTATTGCTACTCCTTCTTTAGCTCTAACTCTATTAGAAACCCCCTGACCTAATCCCATTTATTCCTCTCCACTAAATCTCACCCACCCTCTTCAGCTTTGTTTCACTTTAAGCCAGGACATCCAGCTTCTTCTCATTCATAACATCCACAATCATCTCGTTCTTATCAAGCATATTCTTGAGAAAAACAAGGTGGCAGAGTTAAAGAATTGCATGCAGCACTATCTTATCACATTGATTGCATAATACAATATCAATTTTAAAAATGCAACAGAAAGAACCTTTTGAATCATAAAATAAAAAAATTCTCAAGTCCCTCCAGGTTTATGGCACCCTGTAGGGGGCCTGCATTTTATTAGTTACCATATTCAGTACTGTGATTTTCAATTATTACCTATTCTTAAAATAGGTAAATACAGAGTAATGACAGTACTGTTTTTTATTAGTGACTATACACAGTATTGTGATTACCAATTTCTACCTAATCTCACAAATAGGTAAATACAAAGTAATGACAGCACAATTTTTTATGGCCTTACTTTCTCATAAAACTGCTCGAGGTACTGGTCCAGGACAAGTACTGGGCGGGTGTGTGGTGTGGCCAGTGTGATGATGAGCGACACTTTAGAGGCTGCTACAGTGTCCAGTGTATATACCGCTCTCGCCACCATACCTCCCTGTGAAAATGAACAACTACAGTGGAATCTTGATTTACGAGTGCCCCAACTTAAGAGTTTTTTGAGATATGAGCCGTCCCTGGGACGATTTTTTGCTCTGAGTTACAAGCCAGCTCACCTGTCCCTCTTCCCCCTCAACCCAAAACATGGACACCTCGCTTGTTTGTCTATAATTTCATGCTTTAATTCCATGGAAATCGTTCTCTTTTCTTCTCAGCAATAATAATATAATAAATACATAATAATATTATTACAGTCAAATCACTCAGTAAGTCAATCAAGTCATTCAGTAAGTCAGTCAAGTCACTCAGTAAGTCAGTCAGTCATGTCTTTCAGTAAGTCAGTCAAGTCATTCAGTAAGTCAAGTTACTTAGTAAGTCAGTCATGTCACTCTGAGTCAGTAAAGTCACTCAGTAAGTCAGTAAAGTCATACAGTAAGTCAGTCAAGCCACTCAATAAGTCAGTCAAGTCACTCAGTGAGTCAGTCAAGTCACTCAGTGAGTCATTCAGTAAGTCAGTCAGTCACAAACTCATGTTAACCTCTTTTTCTGTGTACAAAGTAACACTTCAATTAGGGCTACAGGTTATGTCTTGTCTATTATCTTTGTTAATTCTAAGACTTAAGTGCTTATACCTCTTCGTGCCACTTTCAGCAACACTAGTATGGCTACTGGGTGTCACGAGTGCTTGGCATATACAAGATATAGTAATTAAAATATCGTAACACAATTGACAAACACAGCTGCATTGTAGCAGAGAAAGACTGGACACTTATGAATTAGGAATGCTGGGATGGTGGGGTGGTGTCGGGCAGTGGTAAGGGATGGCGGGAGGGCTCCCTGGCTGGCTCCACAACAAGGCGGCTGCTTGAGCAAAAGAGAATTTTTTTTCCTTCCCACAAACTGAACTATGTTAAATTAATTATATGTGTTACATAAAATTGTGCAGCAATTCTTCAATGGCGGTCTACTGTATTATCATAATAATGATAGAGCTTCAGATCCCTAAATTAATAATAATAATAATAATAATAATTTTTTTTTTTAGCAAGTTGGCCGTCTCCCACTGAGGCAGGGTGACCCAAAAAAAAAAAAAAAAAAAAAATCCCCAGAAAGAAAATACTATCATCATCATTCAACACTTTCACCTCACTCATACATTATCACTGTTTTTGCAGAGGTGCTCAGACCACAACAGTTTAGAAGCATATATGTATAAAGATACACAACATATCCCTCCAAACTGCTAATATCCCAAAACCCCTCCTTTAGAGTGCAAGCACTGTACATCCCATTTCCAGGACTCAAGTCCAGCTATATAAAAATAACCGGTTTCCCTGAATCCCTTCACTAAATATTACCCTGCTCACACTCCAACAGATCGTCAGGTCCCAAATGCCATTCGTCTCCATTCACTCCTATCGAACACATACATGTACATGTTTATTTATACACACTCATCTGAGTTTTCTTTGATTTTATTTTAATACTTCTTGGTCTTATTACTTTTCCTTTTATATCCATGGGGAAGTGGAATAAGAATCTTTCCTCCGTAAGCCATGAGTGTTGTAAAAGTCAACTAAAATGCCGGGAACAATAGGCTAGTAACCCCTTTTCCTGTAATAATTACTACAAAGAAAAAGAAGAAAACTGCCAAAATAATAATAATTAGAATAATAATAATGCAAGGTTTCAGGTACATCTTGCTACTTCTACTTACAATTAGGTCACACTACACATACATGTACAAGCATATATACAGTGGACCCCCGAGTTTTGTGATTAATCCGTTCCAGAGAGCCTGCCGAAAGTCGAAATTCACGAAACTCGAAACCATTTTCCCCATAAGAAATAATGGAAATAAAATTAATCCATTCCAGACACCCAAAAATATTAAAATAAAATATTTTTTTTCAAATTCAATAAAGATTTACATATTGAAAACAATCAGAAATCAAGTACATGCATATAAAAAATAATAACAACATTACACTTACCTTTACTGAAGACTTCTGGGTGGATGGAAGACGGGAGTAGGGGATAGGAGGAAGGTGTACACTATTGTTTGGAAGGAGAATCTCCTTCCATTAGGACTTCAGGTAGCAAGTCCTTTTCTGGGGTTACTTCCCTTCTTCTTTTAATGCCACTGGGAACAACTCGAGAGTCACTGGACCCCTGTCGCACAAAATATCTGTCCAGAGAGGTCTGTTTCTGGCATTTCTTTATGATTTGCCTGAAGTGGGACAAGGTTTTGTCACTGAACATGTTGCAGATATGGCTTGCTTCAGCTTGGTCAGGGTGATATTTTTCAACAAAACTTTGCAACTCATTCCACTTCGAACACATGTCCTTAATCACCGAAGAAGGCACCTCCTTCACTCTCTTTTCCCCCTCCTCTGAAGCAAGTTCCTCAGCTGTGGTCTGATGCTGTTCCAGTTGAAGCTCTTGCAGTTCGTCAGTGGTTAGCTCTTCCCTGTGGTCCTCCACCAACTCTTCCACATCCCCGTCACTCACCTTCAACCCGTTGGACTTGCCCAATGCCACAACACCTTCCACAAGAGGCAGACGGTCGGCAGGGTCAGGGTCTGCCTCAAACCCTTCAAAATCCCTCTGGATCGTGTTCTTCACTTTCTTAACCAAAGGGCTTGCACTAGCTTTCCTTGGGCCCATGGTGACTTATTTAGTAGTTGCAATCGCATCCTAAAATTTCTTTCGTATCCTGAAGCAAAAAATCAACCAAACGACGGTTCGTATCCTGAAAAATTCACGTGGTGGGGTATTCATAACTCAAGGTTCCACTGTACTTGCAACATTTGCCACATTGCTCCCCTATCCACTATCATATACCTTTTCTAAATCCATATATGCGATGAAAACTTCCCTACCTTCATCTAAATACTGTTCACATATATGCTTCAATGTAAACACTTCATCAACACATCCCCTACCCACTCTAAAGCCTCCTTGTTCATCTGCAATCCTACTCTCTGTCTTACCTCTAATTCTTTCAATAGTAACCCTACCGTACATTTTTCCTGGTATACTCAGTAAACTTATTCCCCTACAATTTTTACAATCTCTTTTGTCCCCTTTCCTTCATATAAAGGAACTATACATGCTCTCTGTCAATCCCTAGGTACCTTCCCCTCTTTCATACATTTATTAACCCTTTCAGGGTCCCCAGGCCCTCTCCGAGACTTGTTCTCAGGGTCGCCAAATTTAAAAAAAAAAAAATTATTTTTTCTTATGAAAAGATAGAGAATCTTTTTCCTGATCATAATGACACCAAAAGTATGAAATTTGATGGAAAACTTACAGAATTATGCTCTCGCAATTTTGCCCACTTTGAGCCCTATTTTCGGCCAATTCCAATGTACTAGTCGACAAAAGTCATAACTATTTTGCTAGAACTCCATTTTTTCTATTGAATGAGTACAAGAAACCACCCATCTACTGATTTCAACTATCCAATAAAGTGGTCAGAATTTAGCAATTTTGCCAATTTCACACAAATTTCAAAAGATGCCAATTTCCGAATAGCGTTCAGAATAAACAAGAAAGACATTCCTGGCACTAAAATAACAAGTTCTCTGTTTGTTAGTCACATCCCCGGGCCTGTCTTATATTTCTTTGGCTTTCCACTTTGAATTTTTATTCTTACAAAAAATAGAAGATTTACTGTTATGCAGACTACTGCATTAGTGTAGAAATGGTATAAATAATATCGGCGCACTTGTGAAAGAATATTAGACTCACCAGTTGACGTGTATTGGACGCTTGGCATGATTTGTTTATTTTTGAACTTTGGTAAAAATCGAACATTTCTGCTACTTTGAGCTAAATTTCAAGGTACTTTTCATTGTAAAACCAGTCAAAATCATCTCAATTTCTATAATATGTCTTCCATTCTATAAAATGAGACCAGGAAAACTAGAATACAACAAAAAATACCATACGAAAATACAGTGCAAAGTTTTTTTTTTCTCATTATGCACTGTGTGCTGCAGGATTTTTTTTATACTGCGCACACTGACCACATAGACCCATTCTTTCATATGTAGGCCTACCAGTTTTCTCTCATTACATTTGAGGGTGCTAGAATTTAGGCATACTAGTACGTCAAAAACCCTGGGGCGTAAGCCGTACTAGTACGGCCGAAACTCTGAGAGGATTAAACAAAAATACCAACCACTCCAACACTATATCCCCCCTGAATTTAACATTTATGTCATGATCCCATCAGTTCCAGCTGCTTTTAATCCCTTTCATTCTACATAATGCCTCACGCACCTCCCCTCACTCACATCCTGCTCTTCTTCACTACTAAAAGATGTTATGCCTTCCTCGCCATTGCATAAAATTACCACCTCCCTTATTTCATCGACATTTAAAAATTCTTCAAAATATTCCTGCCATCTACCTAATACCTCCCTCTCCCCATCTACTAACTCCCCTACTCTGTTTTTAACTGACCAATCCGTTCGTTCCCTAGGCTTTCTTAACTTGTTTATCTCATTCCAAAATTTTTTCTTATTTTCATCAAAATTTCTTGACTGTGCCTCTCCCACTCTATCATCTGCTCTCCTTTTGCAGTCTCTCACCACTCTCTTCACCTTTCTTTTACTCTCTGTATACTCTGCTCTTCTTATAACACTCCTGCTTCATAAAAACCTCTCATAAGCTATCTTTTTCTCTTTTATCACACCCTTTACTTCATCATTCCACCAATCACTCCTCTTTCCTCCTGCACCCACCCTCCTATAGCCACAAATTTCTGTCCCACATTCTAATACTGCATTTTTAAAGCTATTCCAACCCTCTTCAACCCCACCACTACTCATACTTGTACTAGCCCACCTTTCTGCCAATAGTTGCTTATATCTCACCCTAACTTCTTCCTCCCTTAGTTTATACACTTTCACCTCTCTCTCACTTGCTGTTGCCATTTTCCTTTAGTTCCATCTACCTCTTACTCTAACTGTAGCTACAACTAAATACTGATCTGATATATCTGTTGCCCCTCTATAAATATGTAATCCTGAAGCCTACCCATCAACCTTTTATCCACCAATACATAATCTAACAAATTACTTTCATTATGTGCTATATCATACCTTGTATACTTATTTATCCTCTTTTTCATAAAATATGTATTACTTATTACCAAATTTTCTTCTACACATAGCTCAATTAACCCTTTCAGGGTCAGCAGGGCCTCTCCTAAACTTGTTCTCAGGGTCAGAAATTTTTCGAAAAAAAAAAAAAAAATTCTTATGAAATGATAGAGAATCTTTTCCCGATCATAATAACACCAAAAGTATGAAATTTGATGGAAAACTTATGGAGTTATGCTCTTGCGAAGTTAGTGGTCTCGACGATGTTTACGCATCGGCGATTTCGACCACTTTGAGCCCTATTTTCGGCCAATTCCAATGTACCAGTCAACAAAAATCATACCTAGTTCGCTAGAACTCCAATTTTTCTATCGAATAAGTACAAGAAACTACCCATTTACCGATTTCCATTATCCAATAATGTGGTCAGAAATTGGCAATTTTGCCAATTTCACACAAATTTCAAAAGATGCCAGTTTCCAAATAGGGTCCAGAATAAACAAGACAGGCATTTCTGGCATTAAAATAACATTTCCTCTGTTCATTACTCATGTCCCCAGGCCTCTGTTACATTTCTTTCGCTTTCCACTTTAAATTTTTATTCTCACAAAAAATAGAAGATTTATGTTATGCAGACTACTGCATTAGTGTAGAAATGTTGTAGAAATGGTATAAATAATATCAGAACACTTGTGAAAGAATATTAGACTTGCCAGTTGACGTGTATTGAACGTGTAGCATGATTTGTTTACCTTTGAACTTTGGTAAAAATCAAACATTTCTGCTACTTTGAGCTCAATTTCAAGGTACTTTTCATTGTGAAACCAATCAAAATCATCTCAATTTCCATAATATGTTTTCAGTTCTATAAAATGAGACCAAGAAAACTAGAATGCAACCATAAATAGCATACGAAAATACACTGACAAGTCGCTGTTTTAAACCAAAAAAACGGCCGGAGTTTTTTTTTCTCACTATGCACTGTGTGCTGCACGATTTTTTTTATACTGTGCACACTGACCACAGACTCATTCTTTCATATGTAGGCCTACCAGCTTTCTCTCAATAGATTTGAAGGTGCTAGAATTTATGCGTACTAGTACGGCACCAACCCTGGCGTGCAAGCCGTACTAGTGCGGCACCAACCCTGAAAGGGTTAAAGGCTCCCCATTTTCATTTACCCCTGGCACTCCAAATTTACCTACTACTCCCTCCACAACATTTTTACCCACTTTAGCATTGAAATCCCCAACCACAAGTACACTCACACTTGGTTCAAAACTCTCTACACACTCACTCATTTTCCAAAATCTCTCTCCTCTACACTCTCTCTTCTCCAGGTGCATAAATGCTTACTATAACCTGCTTTTCACATCCAACCCTTATTTTACTCCACATAATCCTTGAATTAATACATTTATATTCCCTCTTTTCCTGCCATAACTTATCCTTCAACATTATTGCTACTCCTTTAGCTCTAATTCTATTTGAAACCCATGACCTAATCCCATTAATTTCTCCCCACTAAACATCTCCCACCCCCTTCAGTTTTGTTTCGCTTAAAACCAGGACATCCAGCTTCTTCTCATTCATAACATCCACAATCATCTCTTTCTTATCATTCGCACAACATCCACGCACATTCAAACATCCCACTTTGATGGTTTTATTTTTATTTTTAGTAGGCTATATGGGAAAAGGGGGTTACTAGCCCATTGTTCTTGGCATTTTAGTCGACTTTTACAACACACATGGCTTACAGAGGAAAGATTCTTATTCCACTTCCCCATGGATATAAAAGGAAAAGCAATAAGAAAAATTTTTAAGATAAAATCAAAGAAAACTCAAATGAGTGTGTATACATAAACATGTACGTGTAGTGTGACCTAAGTGTAAGTAGAAGTAGCAAGACGTACCTGAAATCTTGCATGTTTATGAGATAGAACAAAGACACCAGCAAACCTACCATCATGTAAAACAACTACAGGCTTTCGTTTTACACTCACTTGGCAGGACAGCAGTACCTCCCTGGGTGGTTGCTGTCTACCAACCTACTACTTGAAGGAGGGGTTTGGGATATTGGCAGTTTGGAGGGATATGTTGTGTATCTTTATATGTATATGCTTCTAAACTGTTGTATTCTGAGCACCTCTGCAAAACCAGTGATTATGTGTAAGTGAGGTGAAAGTGTTGAATGATGATGAAAGTATTTTCTTTTCGGGGATTTTCTTTCTTCTTGGGTCACGCTGCTTCGGTGGGAGACAGCCGGCTTGTTAAAAAAAAAAATAATATAATGTCCAATAAAACCCTGATACAAATAACTGCTTTTCTTATTTTTACTGCTTTGGTCTTCTAACACTATGTATAAGGAAATCTTATGATATTACAATTGTTTCATGGTATGATTCTCCTTGAAACATTTGCAAATTAGCTGCATTGTTTGGCTTTGAGTTATTCTAGGTTAATTCTACATGGTGTGCCTTCTGGCTACTGTCAGTATCATGAAATTATAATAAATATGGATCAGATAAGACATTTTACTGCTGAATGCTCAAGCCCCTCTACTCAAAATCTCCTCTAAGCTTTTTTGTATCACAACTGCCAATCTGTCTTAAATTTAATCTTAACTTTATTCATAATGCATTTTTATAAAAAAAAATAATAGTGCAACAAATTAATGTGCACAATTTCAATGAATTTTAGTTCAAGTCTTGCCCAAAACATCATAAACAAGCACTGCATCTTTGCAAATGTCATTAAACAAACCAAGATAAATGGCATAAAATGAATCTACAGCATTATCAGCAATGAAGTATTGTTTATATAATACAAATGCAATTAGTTTTGTGAAAAAATTGCACTAAAATGTGTTGTATCATCTATCTCATATCTAAAATGATTCGTTACACATATTTTACTGACTGATATATTAATCAGCTAATATAAATACATATGAACCTACCATTGAGTGACCAACAAGGATAACAGACTTGGGAATGACTGTGGCATTGGTATATAACTCAAGGATGCGGTTCACTACAATGGCAACAAATTCAGTTTGCTTTTCCAGTACTGGACCATAGAATGCACCCAGTTCTTCGTTGATGTCTACAGTGAAGAAGTTGAAGTGAAAGTCCGTTTCATCATCAAGAGCCTTGCGAAATGCCACGGATGCTAAAGACCGCACTGAAACAAGAAAATACATTATGATGAAAAGGGAACTGCGTGTTCAAAGTATTTCACAAGATTAGCACAATACAAGAACAACAGGCAAAATAAATCTAAATATTTAAGGTATAAAGTGTGCTAAGTTACTTAATTAATGGTAATTACAGTCTCTTGCATTTAACTGAAGTAGTTTAGAACTTAAAGTTGTACACTTACAGATTTTCAGTTAAACATTTTCCTTCTTCATTTCACATACATTTAAAATATTTAAGCCATCTAAAACACAGCACGCATAGTATTAACCAAAATTCCACAAAATTTTCAAACTATAATTTACAAATTCTTTCTTTCTTTGGGCTGTTTTCACAATGAAATAACAGTGATATACTTTTGAAGTGTTTCGAGATTCTTTCTACTCCTGCAGCCCAGCCCTGAGCTAAGCCCTGAGTCGCGGCCGCCGAACGGTGGGGGTCCACTGTATATATCTAAAGCAGCTCATTGTTTACAGTATTTTTAAGTACAGCTGGTTCTGAATGGGAGTAGACGTATGCAGTGTCATCTGTGAATAGAACTGGTTTAAGGAGTTGGGATGCATTGGGGAGATCATTGATGTAGATGAGAAAGAGAAGTGGACCTAGGAAACTACCCTGGGGTACTCCTACAGCTACAGGTTAGATAGTGGAGATGTCTCCATTTGCATGTACATACTGGTGTCTCTCATTAAGATAGGATTTTAGGTAGTCAAGAGAATGTCCTCTGATGCCGTAATGATTCAGTTTGAGGTGCAAGAGATTGTGGTTGACTGTATCAACAGTCGACCAAACGCTTTTCGTATGTCGAGAGCTGTGTATATTAGTTCAAGCATTTGTATAATAGGATGCTACAGATTTGTTAAACATTGTTGCAATAATGGATGACAGCTCATGTGCAACTTTTTTATATACGATGGTGGCAAGTTATCTAGATCACCTACTTTGTTTTTTAATGATTTAATGACGAGCGAGACTTCAGTGGAATTAGTTGGAGCTAGAAATAGAGTGTTTGGGTAGTTGCCAGTGAGGTACTCGTAGCGCTGGGTATTTGAGCTAAGAATTTGACTAGTTAGCTTTCATCCTACAGTAGAGAAGAAGACATTAAATTTGTCGGCTGTGTCTATAGGTTGTATGTAAGGTTCATCTGGTTTAGTTAGTAATAATAATAATAATAATTTTTATTTGGTCGTGATACATAGTTGTACAAGGAATTATAGTAGTTGGGTGTAAATGCCAAAAGCCCCTTGTATGTAGAACATTATGGGGAGGCTTAAAATTAACTTAAGATTAACTAAGCAATGATAAATTCAGTGGTAAAAATTACAGTAAACAATTTACAATATGAAGTACAATTGAGTATTTTAAACAATGAAATTTGAACATTTCAATTATGAAGTATAATAGTTGTACAAATTTGTACCATTACAATTAAAAACATAGTTTGATAGGGTCATGGGTTATACGTTTATGAAATACAGTTATTCAATATTTATTTAGTTTTGGGTAAGTGTTTTTTAAGAAGTCTTGAATTGATAAACAGTGTTTCTTTTATATTCACATGTAATGAATTCCAAATTTTTGGGCCTTTTATGTGCACTGAGTTTTTACATAGTGTGAGATGGACACGGGGAACATCAAAGAGTGATCTGCGCCTTGTGTTATTGTCAAGTTTTCTGTTGAGGCTGGTAAGGAGAAGTTTGCGGGGAGGGTTTATATCTGAGTTCAGTGTTCTATGATGTAGTACGCACAATAATAAGTATGGATGTTTTGTACAGTATGTTTAGAGTTTTGAATATTTCCAGACGGTTTCCTAGAGCCCAAAATTTTGGGCTCATGTGCTTTGTTCCAGCAATGTTGCTTAAATATACTGAGGAATCTTTAAACTTTCATATTTTTGAATTGTCTTCATGGTAACCAACCTTTCTCTCATACAATGAACTCATTTGCAATTGCTTCAAGTAATCCTTTAAATGACAAAACAAATGCAGTACACCTACCATCCGACTTACGACCTGCTCGACTTACGACCTGCTCGACTTACGACCACTCAACTTACGACCGTGTTTTTTATGCCAAATTTCTGGGAAATAAACAACTATTTGTGTTGTACACAGTGTTTATCCTAAACCTTACAGTATAAAATACAGTACTAACAACATAAAAAGTAAAGTAAAACATGAAATACCAAAATAAAACAATAAAATAGTCATTACAAAAATGTTTTGTTAAAATTCAGTAGTAAAGTTCGACTTACGACCATTTTGACTTACGACTGGTTTCTCGGAACCGAACTCGGTCGTAAGTCGGATGGTAGGTGTACTTCCAGGTATGAATTGCATTTCAGGAAAAGTATACTCTAAATTAAGAAAAACCATAGCTTATTAATTATCCTCCACCAAAGACCAATAACGTTATAGACACAATGAATAAATCCTAGTGAAAAAAATAAAGAACATAATGTTCCAACAGTCCTTAACCCTTAAACTGTCCAAACGTAGATCTACATTCGCGTGCGTAGTGCTCCGACCTTGATTTTCCCCATTTGAAAGCATGAAAAAAAAACATAGATCTACGTTCGGAGCCTGCCACACATCAATGTATATCTACGGTTGGATAGTTTAAGAGTTAAATGCAAATTATAAAAACAGCACCATGAAACTGATCCTGTGCTTACCTAGACTGAATTCATGAAAATTAGTTGCAGAAAATGAAAAATTAATGTAAGTGCATAAAGAATATCCTTATACATGTATATAAGTACTAATTATTGTGACCACGAACGAGTGGTATTGACTCAATAACAACACTGCGACTAGCCGAGGATTCGAACCCATGTAGTTTTGGCCCTGCCTCGTGGTGAGCGAAAATCACACTGAACCACACAATCCTACAAGAACCAAGCACCCAGCCAAGCTAGGTGTGTTACTCTTGGTCCAAGGACATACAGTGGTGTGGGTGCCTCTAAGCTAATTTCATTTTTATCCCCGTTTGGTGTACTAGCCTCCACAAGCAGTATATATATTATTTTGACCACGAACGAGTGGTATTGAATCAATAACACTGCGACTAGTCGAGGATTCGAACCCATGTAGTTTTGACCCTGCCTCGTAGTGAACAAAAATCACATGATGCCTTAACCCACTGAACCACACAATCCTACAAGAACCAAGCACCCAGCCAAGCTAGGTGTGTTACTCTTGGTCCAAGGACATACAGCGGTGTGGGTGCCTCGAAGCTAATTTCGTTCTTATCCCCGTTTGGTGTACTAGCCTCCACAAGCAGTATATATATTATTTTGACCATGAACGAGTGGTATTGAATCAATAACAACACTGCGACTAGTCGAGGATTCAAACCCATGTAGTTTTGGTCCTGCCTCGTGGTGAACAAAAATCACATGATGCCTTAACCCACTGAACCACACAATCCTACAAAAACCAAGCACCCAGCCAAGCTAGGTGTGTTACTCTGTCCAAGAGTAACACACCTAGCTTGGCTGGGTGCTTACCTCTGTCTACTTACCCTGTTTATGGGAACCACTGTTTCCAGGTATGAAGAGAACTGGAATGCCTGTGTAAAGGCCTTTCTTCAGAGATTCAGAATAGCGGCCTTCTCCATATGCATATAAACTATAGTATGGGAAACGCTCAACCACATGTGAAGGAAGTTTTATAGGCTGTGGAGAGAAATACTCTGTAAACACACTAACATTTTATATTATATTAATCTATTGATAATCAGTTTTTTTTTTTACCTCTCTAGTTGTCTCACGAAGGTAGGGGGTGCTCCAAAAATGAAAATATTCCCCAATCATTCATTTAATACCTATCTTGCCAGAGGTGTGTGCAGAGATTGCAACTGCAGAAATCCTTGAAGCAGCATTATCTCCACCCCATTCATTATGCAGGATTCAAGTCCAGCTAATAGCTTTCTCTGAATCCCTTCATAAATGCTACCCTGCTCACACTCCAACTCAAACAAAAGAAATCACTGCTCCACTTACTCTGATTTAACATGCTCTCACATACTTGTGGATACTCCAGCCTTTACCACATAGACCCTCTTTCACTTCCACCTTCAACCTTTCCATCAATGACCCTTTCTCCTTTCTTCCACCCCAGATTTACACTTTCTGATATCCCATTTAACTCCATCCCTACTAAATGACCTAGCCACCTTAACAACCTTTCCGTTGCCCTTTGACTTGTCCATTCCTTTCCTAAGCCTTCATCATCTTCTAAAATATATAATAAGAATAAAATAAAATAAAATTTTTATTTCAACTGATCATACATAGAAGTTACAGTAGTTAGATTTACATATCACTTGGCTACAATTTGGAAACAAATACAATACTGATAAAAATTTAATAAAGATACATGCTCAACTGAAAGCCAATTATAATGAAAAGCATTTCAGGTTAATCATGAAACTAATCATGAAACTTACATACTAAATTCTAGTCCTGGCATATAATTTAACCCTTTCAGGGTTTGTGCCGTAGATCTATGGCTTTACGTTCAGGGTCCAAACCGTAGATCTACGCCATGAGCTCAGCTCATTCTGATAAGCAGTGAGTGGTAAATTTGGGCCTAGATATGAGAGAATACATCTATGTGGTACGTGTGCACCACATAAAGCAAATCCTGCAGCACACAGTGTATATTATTATTATTATAATCAAAAAGAAGCGCTAAGCCACAAGGGCTATACAGCGCTGCAGGGCAGGAAGGAAGCGAGGGCATCAGGTGACAAAAGGGAGGTGGATGAGTAATAAGTTACGGATAACAGCGGAGCAGTGGATGGTGAAAGGGTAAAGGGCAGCAAGAGACTGAGCTAGAAAAGGCTGAGGGGAGTGCGTAAGGTATCATCATCAGAGTTTGTGGAGTAAATCAGTCGTTGTCAAGAAGTCAATGAGAGAGTCAGGATTAAAGGAGGGTCCATCAGCAAGAAGGGAAGGTAAAGAGAGAGTAGTAGAACGAAGACGGCGTTGGAGGTAAATTCTGAGTGCTCGTTGATAGAGAGGGCTGTCTAACAGAATGTGGCTAATCGATACTGGAACTTGACACTGCTCACAGAGGTACAGGGTGCCTCTCCATGAGATACCCGGAGCAAACAGGGGCGGTGAACGAATAAAGAATGTCTACTAATATCGGTGACCATTCTATAAATGGAAGGATTGTGTAGATCGTGAGAGCGTACATAGTAGCGAAGGCAATGGACATCACGGCGATCAGACAAGGATGGAACATTCGCTTCTGCATAGAGGCTCTCAACAGGGGAAGAGCAAAAAGCACCAAGGCACAAACGTAATCCTTGGTGATGGATAGAGTTAAGGCTAGAGAGAGTAGCAGGAGAGGCCGCGGAATAAATCTGGTCACCATAATCGAGTTTCGATAAAAGGAGGGCAGAATGTAGGCGAAGCAGAGTTCGACGATCAGCTCTCCAGGAAAGATGAGCAAGGGTTTTAAGAAGGTTTAGCCGGCTGTGACAAGTTGCCTTCAGAGAGGCAATGTGAGGTTTCCAGGATAACCTACGGTCAAAGAGAAGGCCTAGAAACCTGACTGTATCACGTTCGGGGATACGGGAGCCATAGAGATACAAAGGACACAGTGTATAATGAGAGAAAAAAACTGAGACTGTGATTTTCGATTAAAACAGCGACTTTGCAGTGTTTTTTCGTATGTTTTTTATAGTTGTATTTGCGATTTCTTGATCTCATTTGATAGAATGGAAGACATATTACAGAAATAGAGATGATTTTGATTGGTTTTAGCACTGGAAATGGCTTGAAACTGAGCTCAAAGTAGCGGAAATGTTAAATTTTTGCCGATGTTCAAGAGTAAACAAACGACCTCACACGTCTAATATACATTCAAAAATGTGGTGATGATATTTATACAATTATTACAATGTATTGCATAACAGTGTAAATCTTCTATTTTTTGGTTTGAATAAAAATTCATTATGTGAATAAAAAATCAAAATGGAATTCATTTGTAAAGCCTCAAAACATAACTAATGAACAGAGGAAATGTTAGTTTAGTGCCAGGAATACCTACATTGTTTATTCTGGACCCTATTTTGAAATTGGAATATTTATTTTGAACTTTGTGTTAAATTGGCCAAATTACCAATTTCCAATCACTTTATTTTGTAGTTGAAACAGTCGACTTGCTGATTTCTTGTGCTCAATCGACAGAATAGAAGTAATACTAGTGAAATAGCTAAGAATTTAGTCGACTGGAATAATGTAATTGGTCTAAAATGGGAGTCAAAGTCGGCAAAAAATCGCCGATTCATAAATATCGCTGACACATCAAAATTCGTGAGAGCATAATTTCACCAATTTTCCATCAAATTTCGTACTTTTTCTTTTATTACCTTCAGAAAAAGATTCTCTACCATTTCATAAGAAAAAGTAACAAAATTTTTTTGGAAAATTCTTGGACCCTGGTGCACACTTTGAAATTTGGCCTCTGGACCCTGAAAGAGTTAAGGCAGTGTGTATCAGTATGTACATATAAGTACAGTAATTCATTCTAGTCATAAGTATGACGAGACAGGTTACCAATGATGAGCTGGACAATTACAAATACGTACATTATATGGAATTGCATCAGATTTATGATGTGCATTTCACAGAGCAGTTGAATTCAAGTGGTGACTATAAAGTATGAGTACGTATTTACACTCGTATATAGTGATACCTCGGGATACGAATTTAATTTGTTTCCGAAGGCTGTTCGAGGGCCGATACTGAACAAATTTGTTCCCATAAGGAATAATGTAAATTAGATTAATCCGTTTCAGACCCCCAAAAATACACTTACAAAAGCACTTACATAAATACACTTACATAATTGTTCGAGTTTTGAGCTGTTCGTATCCCGAGGTACCACTGTATTATATGGTACGAGTATATCATTTATGATTTAATAGATTCTTTTTAACAATACAATTAAAGTTGTTGGCAAATAGGGAACTTCTGACATTTTGAGACAGTGAGTTCAATATTTCTGGGCCTTTTATTTGCATGGGATTTGTAAACAGGTTGAAGTTAGATATGTGGTATATCATATAGATACTTTTTCCTTGTATTGTGTTCATGTGCTCAGTTTCAGCTCTCCAGAAAGAATATAAGCTCTAGGTTAGTGTTTGTATCGAGTGCCTTATAAGCAGTGTGCACAGGAGTGCAAATACTTTATATGTTAAGCAAATTTAGACTTTTGAATAGGGAGGGTGTGTGATGCCTGGAACCTTATTGAGTGACTATTCTAAAACATGATTTTTGGAAGAGTAACAACAGGTCTCAGGTGTTGTAGGGATAATTAGAGAGCAATACAAAGTGAACAGGGATGTCCGAAGTACCCTGGAGAATGCCCAATCGTATAATAATAATAATAATAATAATAATGGTGCTTCAAGCCAAGTCCCATAACCCTGTCTTCCAATCAGAGTGCCACTGCTAAGCCTCTCCTACATAAAACTTCTGGCACTGCCTCTATACAGCCTCTCTTCACTCAACGACAGAGTTCCATTCCTGAGACCACGTTGTTAAACGAATTCGTCGCTAAGTGAGGAGCATACAGTAATGGTAGTGAGTTTGTGTCAACCATCTTTGATATTGTTTTAATGTCACCTTTGCACCATTTATAACATTTCTGGTATATTTTTAAGTGTTTATACAGTAGTGTACTGTATATTGAATAAACAGAATAGAGGAAATCAGCTCTAATATACATTATTTAGGTAGGAATACTGGTCAGGGAGCCCATTGTAAGTCCAAGACATCAGTAAACGAATACGTTGCTAGGAGAGGAGAGGCTGTATATGCTTAAGTTCATGTACACCTGATTAAGTGTTTCTATCTCCTGCCTATATATTGTGATTCCTCCAAGTATCTATTAAGACTTGAAAAGAACTGCTGTGCAGGTAAAACATTGTGTAAATAAAGTCTTCAATTACCACTTTTGGCTAAGATTTAAGGCTACTACTTGGTGGAACTCAAGGACTGAGATACATTTTACAGCATGTACAACCTATGAACAAAACAGAATAAATAATTATTTATGAAAATTTTTATTTTGGGGGGTTTCTGGCAAATATAGTAGTCTATACTGATTTTGATTCTGTAGCATATGAGCCAATCAACGCTTAATACAGAGTCATGTTACGCACTGGCTGAATGTAACCAAGGCATGCCAGTATCGATGGCAGGCATATAGTTAACCCGTAAACTGTCCAAACGTATATTTACGTTTTTACCGCTAGTGCCCCAAATATATACATGTTTTATTTGTCATACATTCAACATTGCCATGATAAGCCTGAGTCGCCTAGACATGAGAGAATGGGTGTGCGCACTCACTGTGCGCCATATTAACCCTTTGACTGTCGCGGCCGTATATATACGTTTGCGAGGTACCGTGTTTGACGTATATATACTCATAAATTCTAGTGGCTTCAAATCAGGCAGGAGAAAGCTAGTACGCCCACATGTGAGAGAATGGGTCTGTGTGGTCAGTGTGCACCACATAAAAAAAATCCTGGAGCACGCAGTGCATAATGAGAAAAAAAAAACTCCGACCGTTTTTTTTAATTAAAATGCCGACTTTGTGGTCTATTTTCGTAAAGTATTTGTGGTTGTATTCTCGTTTTCTTGGTCTCATTTGATAGAATGGAAACTATATTATAGAAATGGAGGTGATTTTGATTAATTTTACTATAAAAAGAACCTGGAAATGGAGCACAAAGTACATGAAATGTTTGATTTTTGCCGATGTTCAAAAGTGAACAAATGATGTCATTGTCCAATAAATGTCCAAATAGCCATTCTAATACGCAGTCATGAATGGGTTGATGTAATTTTTACAATTATTACAGTATTGCAGTAGTCTGCATAACAGTAAATCTTCTATTTTTTGTTTGAATAAAATTTCAAAATAAAAAGCAAGAGTAATATCACAGGGACCTGGAGACATGACTGATGAACAAAGAAAATGTTATTTTAGAGCCAGGAATGTCTGCATTGTTCATTCTGGACCTTATTTTGAAATTGTCATATTTTTTAATTTTCGTGAAATTGGCCAAATTGCAAATTTCTGACCATGTTATTGGGTAGTTGAAATCGGTAAATGGGCAGTTTCTTGTACTCAATCGATAGAAAAAATAGAGTTCTGAAGAAATAGTTATGAGTTTGGTTAACTGGAATAACGGAATTAGCCGAAAATAGGGCTCAAAGTGGGCGAAATTGCCGATTTTTAAATATCGCCGAAGTCGCTAACTTCGCGAGAGCGTAATTCCGTCAGTTTTCCATCAAATTTCGTTTTTTTGGTGTCTTTACAATCGGGAAAAGATTCTCTATCATTTCATAAGAAAAAATAATTTTTTTTTTCGAATATTTTGCGACACCAGAAGCAACTTCAGGATTTGGCCCTTCGACAGTCAAAGGGTTAAAATAATTGGGGATGCCTGGGTACCATATGTTCTTTTTTCCTATTAAAAAAAAAAAAACAATTTTTTTCTCAAAAAATTTGGGGCACTACGCGAGGTATATATACGTTTGGACCGTTTACGGGTTAAAGTGCATTAGGTCACTATAGAATGAGTTAGGCAGATTTCGTTAGATTTGGTTACAATTTTTTTTTGTACAAAATATCTCAACTGTAAAAACCTTATAATTGTAAAATGCTAACCAGAATTAATGGTCAAACTGTTTAAGTTAGCTGACAAGTAGATGAATAACATGTATCAGTAGGCAAGTTTATTTAGACATCGCTATACATAAATACAATTATCATACGTAGTGAAAGTTACCTAGGACAACCCCTCCAAAACAGAAAGTCAGAAAAAGTGCCTTATTTTCCATTGGGATGCAACACCTGCTTATCTTTATGAAGATACCCAGGTGTTGCACATGTCATTCATCATATACACACAAGTACAATTATCATACATAGTAACATGTGTAAAATACCTAGGAAAACTCCCCAAAAAAGTCAAATTGACTTTTATTCCTAATGGAAATAATTAGCTCCATGGTATGTCTGTAATAAAACATATTAAAATAACAAAGCTGATAAAACACGAGTGCATTATATAGATCATCCAATAAAAATAACAAATAGCTTCAGCAGGTAAATTACAAGAGGTAGCCGGCAGACTTACAATATACTGAGGGAGCTGGTACATGTAGGTCATATCACACTTGTTGGGCTCAATGTTGAACACTTGCTCGTACATACCACAGGTCAGCAGGGCACTCAACACGCCGGCAAGCACCAGCTTCACCTGATCACCCATTATCAACTCTTAAATTATAGTATCCAGGTGCCTCTCCTCCTCGCCATGTAGGTGGGATGAGCTACTGTTGTTGCTGCTGCTGTTGTTGTGTTGTTACTGTTGTTGTGTTGTTGCTGCTGCTGTTGTTGCTGTTTCTGCTGTTGTTGTTGCTGCTGCTGCTGCTACTGTTACTATTGCTGCTGTTGCTTGTTGCGGGGTTTAAGGGCACTTCTCTACTTCCATCAATGGAAATAAGTCACTTTGTCTGACCTTTTTGGGTTAGTAAATCAGTAAGTTTATTTAGGTACAGGTAAAGTTAAATACAGTTACACAAATTATCAAACATAGTAACATGTGTGTAAATTATAAAGAACAAAATGACATAATATCTAGGATAACCCCCCCAAAAGTCAGGCAAAATGACTTATTCCCATTGGGGTTATTCTAGGTAATTTATACTATGTATGATAATTGTAATTATGTGTACATGTACCTAAAAAAAAGTTATTTACTTATGTACCCCCACTACACCATCTAATTAAGTTTATTCAGGTACAATTACGCAACCATTAGATGATTGCAACTATCTTGCATAATAATATATGTGCAAATTACCTACTTGTGCTTCGGGATCAACTGCAGCAACACACCTAAATTATTATTATTATAATCAAAGGGGAAGCGCTAAACCCGTAGGATTATACAGCGCCCGGGGGGGGGGATGTGGAAGGCATTCAGGCTTATTTCGGGGAATTGGAGCACAGTTCCAATTCCCTAAATCAAGAGCCCCTCACCAACATCAAGGAACCTTCCATGAGGGGAGCAACACACCTAAAGCCAATAATAACCTAACAAAAAGCTGCAGTAAGAATAATCACGCAATCCAATCCCAGCGCTTGAGGTTCCTAAACCTGTATTCCCTGGAACGCAGGAGGGAGAGATACATGATTATATACACCTGGAAAATCCTAGAGGGACTAGTACCGAACTTGCACACGAAAATCACTCACTACGAAAGCAAAAGACTTGGCAGACGATACACCATCCCCCCAATGAAAAGCAGGGGTGTCACTAGCACGTTAAGAGACCATACAATAAGTGTCAGGGGCCCGAGACTGTTCAACTGCCTCCCAGCATACATAAGGGGGATTACCAACAGACCCCTGGCAGTCTTCAAGCTGGCACTGGACAAGCACCTAAAGTCAGTTCCGGATCAGCCGGGCTGTGGCTCGTACGTTGGTTTGCGTGCAGCCAGCAGCAACAGCCTGGTTGATCAGGCTCTGATCCACCAGGAGGCCTGGTCACAGACCGGGCCGCGGGGGCGTTGACCCCCGGAACTCTCTCCAGGTAAACTCCAGGTAAACTCCAGGCAAACCGCCCCCCCCCTCTCCACTCTTCATAGATCAGATCGAAACTTACTGTTCAGAACATCCACACTTACCTACATTTACAGAACCTTAAATTCCAATATTAACCCTGACCTAAAACATTTTTTTGATAGTTGTGACAGGACCCACAGGCATAACACCAGACACAAAAATCTCTGCCATTCTGTGTGTCCGGCTAAACCTACACAAAAATTAAATGTATATAAAAGGACCTAAAATCTGGAACACCCTACCTGAAGACTCTAGAACTGCTGACACATTCATCACTTTCAAAACTACCGTTAGAAAACATCTTATCTCCCTGACACACCCCACTGTCAGGTAACTACAAGAAAACCACTTATTCTCTTGTATCATACACACATTAAAAACAACCTAGACCTCCCCTCGATATCTGTAATTCCCCACAATTCACACTTACACTCGCCCAGTTGACTATAAACATTGAAATACGTGATAAAACTGTTACCTAATGCATCTAAAACTAGTCATAAGTTTGCCTGAGATACTCCAATATAGGAGCTTTAATACAAACTATGTATCGTACCAAGACAAAACCATTCACATTGCTAAATTTACAAACTGTAATACAGTTACTTAGACTTAATATCAACATGCTCCATAAACTGTACCAGTATAGAGTATTGAATTAATCTTAGTCTGCCCGAAATGCCTAGTTATGCTCGGTGTGATAGTGGTCCTCTCTGTAATTAGTATTTTATAATATGTAAACCACACAGTATCCTATAAAACGTAAACTTGACTGATTGATTGAAGATAACCTCTAAAAAGAGTCAAAGTGACTTATTTCCAGTGGAATCCTTGACTTGATAAATGATAGATAACAAACTATGTCTAATAAGGTATGGTTAGTAACTGATTGACTGATTTTACAATTGGTTGACATACTTTACAAAAAGTTCCTGGTAATACAGAGCATTTCAGGCTGTTTAAAATTAACTTATAACTACTTCTGGAATTAATTGCAACAACGATATGTTGGTAGTTTTTATTAAAATAATTCGCTATAATATTTGTGGAAGTCATTACGAATGTTAATTAAATATAAATGTAGATGCTAATCTAAATTTCAGTAACGAAAAAAGAAATGGTTATAACTTTGACCATAATTTTTAAAGAGGTGCAACATCCCCCCAATGAAAAGCAGGGGTGTCACTAGCACGTTAAGAGACCATACAGTAAGTGTCAGGGGCCCGAGACTGTTCAACTGCCTCCCAGCACACATAAGGGGGATTACCAACAGACCCCTGGCAGTCTTCAAGCTGGCACTGGACAAGCACCTAAAGTCAGTTCCTGATCAGCCGGGCTGTGGCTCGTACGTTGGTTTGCGTGCAGCCAGCAGCAACAGCCTGGTTGATCAGGCTCTGATCCACCAGGAGGCCTGGTCACAGACCGGGCCGCGGGGGCGTTGACCCCCGGAACTCTCTCCAGGTAAACTCCAGGTGGAGGGGTAAGCCAGTGGAAGGCCTCTGTCAGATGACGAAAAGCTCCAGCTGCGGGTCATCATCTGTTTCTTGACGAACCTTACCTAACCTAACCTAATTTCAATATTACTGAAGAGGATATACAATAAGCTGAAGACCAATAGAATGCATAGTATCTCCAGCAAAACTTGGTCTATATTATACCTGGGAATTTTTGAGCTTGGATAATATATATGTAGAAGTCACCAGCAAATATCAGGTGATGATTAAGTGCTTGTTAATTTTTTTTCTTTTTTAGGTTTTCATTAAAGGTGGGAATATTAGCATAAGTTACCTGTAGACTAGCAGCAAGATATTCTGGCCACATTGTAAATCATTTTATAAACAATTTAACTCCTAAATTAATATTTACAATCACCCAAGAGACTATTATTTACAATCACCCAAGAGACTATATTATTTACAATCACCTAAGAGACTGTATATTTAAAACCACTAAATTTGTGATTGCCTTAATAATGTTAAGTTAGTGTTGAGTTTGGCCACAATGCTCTCTATATTAAGGTGCTTCTGCATACACACCTAAATGTCATTCACCTCTTTACAAACATTGTATTATGCTGAGATAAAGTATCTTATTTTAACTTCAGCTGCTTTACTCTCTTTAGCTGCATAATCCGTGTGGGTTTAGCGCTTAATTTTGGTTGTAGTAAATAATAATCTCTTCATCACTATTAACCTTTCCATTTTAATTTTATTCTATTTTAAGCCTATATAAATAAAAAATAATTCCGACGCATATTTCTTGAAAGGATAATATAAATATAAATGAAATATTGAAATTATTAATTTCATTGATCAGCTGTTTAATGCCGCCAAAATTTGAAACTGCTATAAATATATTTATAAGAAAGTGGTAAACCCGCAGGGAGGTCAGACAGCCAAATTTAATTAAATAATAAATAATAAATGAATAAATTTACTTACTTACTTACTTACTCCAGTTCCCTGGATCAAGAGCCCTCCAGTACATCCTAGCAGTTCAGTCCTGCAGGTGTGGTCAACCCAGCTGGGTTTTTCTCTCCTCATTTTAGCCACTTTGCGACGGTTTTGGGGGAGTCATGTCTGCGGAGGTTGGGATAGAAGAGTTATTACAGGCCCACCGTGGCATAGACACCATACTTAGTACGTTTTACAGTGACAAGAGTGAGGAAGATGACGGTGAGGTGCAGGTCGTTGATGTGCTCACCTCACTCACTTCTAACTCCATGGAGTCATCTCAGGTAATATTTTAACTTTCGTGATGTTTCGTCTCTGATGTTTCATCCTTCATAATATTTCATGTCTGGTAATAATAATATAATAATACAAGTATAATAATAATAATATAATGAAAGTATAATAATACGTAATAATAATATAATAAAAGTATAATAATAATAATAATAATATTTATTTCTACATGATACAACATATACAGACCATAACTGACATCAGTGACACAATATACGTAGAAAGTAATTGGTTATGCAGAGCATTTCAGGCAAATTAGGTTACTTTTACCCCCAGGATGCGACCCTCACCAGTCAACCAACACCCAGGTACCTACTTACTGCTAGGTGAACATGGACAGTAGGTGTTTAAAAAAAAAAAGTCCTAATGTTTCCACTTGTACCGGAGATCGAACCATGGACCTTAGTGTGTGAGGCGAGAGTGTTGTGTACCAGGCCACAGGACACCTTTTTAACCATTTACACAACAAAATACTGTCACAACTGCAAGCCAGTTTAATATTTTATTTGTCATGCTGTAATTATTGGACAGAATTTGCCGAATGTAGATACATGGTTCAGAAAACTGACAAGTTGATAAATCTTCTTAAGATTGATGGACTGATTATATCAGCTCAAAGCCGAGGGACTGATTACCTCAAACTCCTTCTGAGCTTAACCATTCTTCTTTGTACTGGACTGATGAAGCCACTGTGTGGTGACACGTTTCCTCAGTAAAGATACCAAAATGCTGCACATGTGTCTACTTTATTGGAATTGGCCGAGTAGCAGCTCTTGTAATATTGTAATTCTACTTGAAACAACTCTAGCAAAATTTCAACTGGTAATATTTTAAATTGTAATTTTTCAACTCTTGTAATACTGTGTTTTAACTATTTTAACCTGAAATATTTCAACTCTGGCAGTATTTCAACTTTGGCAGCCAGCATTAACAGGCTGGTTGATCAGGCCCTGATCCACCACGAGGCCTGGTCACAGACCGGGCCGTGGGGGCGTTGACCCCAAAACCTTCTCCGGGTATACTCCAGGCATTTCGGCTCTGGCAGTATTTCAGCTGATACTGTTATGACCCAGTAGTGGCCTCAGCTCACACTGAAAGACTGGGGTTCGATCTTCGGATGAGCAGAAAGAAACATTGGGCATGTTTCCTTACACCTACTGCCCAACACTCGTTTCAGATATTAACCCTGAGCTATAACAATTCCTACAGAACTACGACAAATCACATAAGCATAACACTAGAAATAAATTTCTTTATTTACTTGGTCTCTCAGAATTATATATTTTTTATTAAAAATAAGTATCATTTTTACAACAAAAAATTTATTAATTTTTGAACAAAAAGTCATTGTTCAACATTGTTCATTCTTTAAATAGCAAGCATCACCAGTATTCAGAGAACAGTTTGAAAATACGATAATGTACCACTTCAGTATTTAATTTAATTGCAGTGCTGAACAACCATTTCAGGTTTAGTACTTGTTTTTATTATTTTAATAATGACAATAACAATAATAACTGATAGCTAAAAAATAATGTGGAGAATGTTGATGCTGTCAGCCAGTCCTGTCAGAGAGCTAGTATACATATTAACTTATGTAATTTGCTCTGTATCTCTCTCTTTCAGCTAATTAATTCCTTCTTGGAGGATGTCTCGGCATTAACTGAGGTTCGTCGGGACCTTGCTGCCACAACTGAAAAAATCAGTATTGCTGCATTAAATGAGACATCATCTGCATTGACAGATCCAGAAGTATTAGGTGCAGTATTATTTTTTATAGGCTCTGCCAATGAAAATACTTCATGGGAATTGTACAAATTTATGTCACTGTTTGTAAAATATTCATACATTTCCTGAATAACCCTTCTATTTTTTTTTACAGTGTTGCTCATGTGAAACTTTGTCTCTGGATGATAGTGAGTGGTTTCCTGTGTTCATGTGAAGTTTAATACAATTATGTCTTGGTTTAACCCTTTGAGGGTCGACAGGCCCTCTCCGAAACTCGTTCTCAGGGTCGGCCAAATTTAAAAAAAAAAAAAAAATTATTTTCTCTTATGAAAAGATAGAGAATCTTTTCCCGATCATAAAGACACCAAAAGTTTGAAATTTGATAGAAAACTTACGGAATTATGCTCTCGCAAAGTTAGCGGTCTCGGCGATGTTTACGCATCGGCGATTTTGCCCACTTTGAGCCCCATTTTCGGCCAATTTCACTGTACTAGTCGACAAAAAACATGAATATTTCGATAGAACTCCATTTTTTCTATCGAATGGGTGCAAGAAACCACTCATTTATGAAATTCTACTATCCAGCACAGTGGTCAGAATTTAGCAATTTTGCCAATTTCACACAAATTTCAAAAGATGCCAATTTCCGAATAGGGTCCAGAATAAACAAGAAAGACATTCCTGGCACTATAATGACATTTCCTCTAGTCATTAGTCATGTCTCAAGGACCCTCTTATATTCTTTTGCTTTCCACTTTGAATTTTTATTTTCACAAAAAATATAAGATTTACTGTTATGCAGACTACTGCATTAGTGTAAAAAATGGTATAAATATTATTGGTGCACTTGTGAAAGAATATTAGACTCACCAGTTGACGTGTATTGCACGCTTGGCACGATTTGTTTACTTTTGAAGTTTGGTAAAAATCGATCATTTCTGCTACTTTGAGCTCAATTTCAAGGCACCTTTCTTTGTAAAACCAGTCAAAATCATCTCAATTTCTGTAATATGTCTTCCATTCTATAAAATGAGACCAAGAAAACTAGAATACAACAATAAATACCATACGAAAATACACTGCAAAGTCGCTGATTTATTCAAAAAAAATGGTCAAAGTTTTTTTTTTCTCATTATGCACTGTGTGCTGCAGGATTTTTTTTAGACTGTGCACACTGACCACATAGACCCATTCTTTCATATGAAGGCCTACCAGGTTTCTCCCACTAGATTTGAGGCCGCTAGAATTTATGAGTACTAGTACGTCAAAAACCCCTACGCGTAAGACGTACTAGTACGACGAAAACCCTCAAAGGGTTAAAACATCACCTGGGATTACATTGCAGTTAGATTCACCCGAAGGTAACACTGAAAAAATAGATAACGATGAAAATTGTAAGGAAATCTAGACAGAGACCGGACCTTTCATGTTCTTTAGACACATTACTATCTCTTTTTCATGAAGGTGCTTTGTATATTAAATGGTACATCTGTTAGGTAGTTTAGATTAATTTTTTCTCTACAATCAAGAGGTTCATTGACACAAAGTAGTTTTTCCACCTCTTCCTGCTGTTTATCAGTAAAATATTTCTCTCCCATTTTACAAATCAGCCTCATAATCCTCCTCATGTATCTGACAACACTAGAGGCAAAATGGTGAAGTCATTTGCTGCTTCTCCACAAAACTTTCTTCAAACAGGCTGTGCCTCTTATGTACAACTTGTAATTTGTTATTATCTGTGGAATTTTTTTAATGTTATGCCTAAAATTTAAAAAGTTTTAGGTTTAAATGTGGGTTTTTGTAATTACCTTGGTGGGTTTGAGTTGGTGTCCAGAAATGAATGGGCAGATACTGATACAAAGGCTGCTGGAGTGAGCTCATTCTGCAAAGGACTTTTGCCTTACATTGACGTCAAGGTCACTTTAAACAGATGTGCTCTTAAGTGGTGGCAGGTCCAGTGGGCCCAACAGGTTATCAACAAGTTATAAAGGGTTTGACAGAACATGGGGCTTTGGCCACCCCATCCTTCAAAAGGAAATTGTCACTTTGAAACAAAGTTGTTGATGAGGATTTCTCATGCACACCATGTTACTGACTAGTGCACATTTTAACATTTTGCCCAAGGCAAAATGTTAAAATGTGTCATGGTTTTTATCAAGGTATTTGTAGGGTTGTTGGAGAACTTTTAAGATCTTTTCTTATTAATAATTTAATAAAATTTTAATTTGATGCTGGTAGCCTGAGAGTGAGGTTGAACGCTGGTGTTATCACCATCATCAGGTCAAACCCGCTTATTGTAGGTATGTACTAGGTTGGTAGACAGCAACCATTCGGGGAGGTACTACCATCTTACCAAGCGAGTGTAAAAAGGAGGCCTCTATTTGTTTTACATGATGGTAGGATTCCTGGTGTCTTTTTTCTGTCTCATAAACATGCAAGATTTCAAGTACATCTTGCCCTTCTACTTACACTTAGGTCACACTACACATACATGTACAGTGGACCCCCGGTTCGCGAAGCCATCGGTATCCGATAAATCCGGTATCCGAAGCATTATATCGCAAAAAATTTGCCTCGGTTCCCGTTACAAAACCTGGTATGCGATACGATTCGTATGAGACCTGTCCACGTGTGGCCTGAACTACCCCGTGTGTGCCAGTGTTTACAAGCCAGCCAGTGTGCGCACATCTAAGGATACATTCGGTACATTCCATATTATCACTGTTTTTGGTGCTTGTTTCTGTAAAATAAGTCACCATGGGCCCCAAGAAAGCTTCTAGTGCCAACCCATCGAGACCAAGGGTGCTAATGACTATTGAAATGAAGAAAGAGATAATTGCAAAGTATGAAAGTGGAGTGCGTGTGTCGGAGCTGGCCAAGTTGTATAGTAAACCCCAGTCAACCATCTCTACTATAGTGAGCAGGAAAACGGCAATCAAGGAAGCTGTTCTTGCAAAAGGTGCAACTGTGATTACGAAACAGCGACCACAAGTGTTAGAAAATGTTGCGAGACTGTTATTGGTGTGGATAAATGAAAAACAGATAGCAGGAGATAGCATCTCTCAAGTGATCATTTGTGAAAAGGCTAGGCAGTTGCATGAGGGTTTAATTAGAAGAATGCCTGCAACTAGTGGTGATGTGAGTAAATTTAAGGCCAGCAAAGGTTGGTTTGAAAGATTTAAGAATCATACTGGCATACATAGTGTGGCATACATAGTACGATGAAAATCACCTTGACACAGCTACTGCAAGCCGTGTTGGCAACGTGTACACTGACAATGTTGTGAACCACTTTAGGAAAGTTATAAAGGAACGAGAGGTACAGGCCTCTATGGACAGATATGTTGTGCGACAGAAGTCCAGTGACTCTCAAGCTGGTCCTAGTGGCATTAAAAGAAGGGAAGTAACCCCAGAAAAGGACTTGCTACCTCAAGTCCTAATGGAGGGGGATTCCCCTTCTAAACATTAAAAACTTCGACACACTCCCCTCCTCCCATCCCATCAGTCATCACCAGATCTTCATTAAAGGTAAGTGTCAATTATTCTATTGTGATTATTCTATTGTTATTATTGTTACTGTAATTATTATATTGCATTAAACTTAATATTTCATGTGGTAAAAGTTTTTTTTTTTCATACTTTTGGGTGTCTTGCACGGATTAATTTGATTTCCATTATTTCTTATGGGGAAAATTGATTCACTTTCCGATAATTTTGGTTTACAATGAGCTCTCAGGAACGGATTAATATCGTGAACCGGGGGTCCACTGTACATGTTTTTTGTATACACACTCATCTGAGTTTTCTTTGATTTTATCTCAATAGTTCTTGTTCTTATTGCTTTTCCTTTCATATCCATGGGGAAGTGGAATAAGAATCTTTCCTCTTTAAGCCATGCATGATGTAAAAGTCAACTAAAATGCCGGGAACAATGGGCTAGTAACCCCCTTTTCCCGTATAGCCTACTAAAAAGAAAAAGAAGAAAACCGTCAAAGTGGGATGTTTGCATGTGTGTGTATGTTTTGCAAATGATAATAGAGGTGGTTGTGGATGTTATGAATTAGAAAAAGCTGGATGTCCTGGCTTTAAGTGAAACAAAGCTGAAGGGGGCAGGAGAGTTTCAGTGGAGAGAAATAAATGGGATTAGGTCAGGGGTTTCAAATAGTTAGAGCTAAAGAAGGAGTAGCAATAATGTTGAAGGATAAGTAATGGCTGGAAAAGAGGGAATATAAATGTATGAATTCAAGGATTATGTGGTGTAAAATAAGGGTTGGATGGGAAAAGTGGTTTATAGTAAGCTTTTATGCACCTGGAGATGAGAGAAGTGTAGAGGAGAGAGAGAGATTTTTGGAAATGTTGAGTGAATGGGGAGTTTCGAACCAAGTGAGAGAGTACTTGTGGTTGGGGATCTCAATGCTAAAATGGGTAAAAATGTTGTGGAGGGAGTAGTGAGTAAATTTGGGGTGCCAAGGGTAAATGAAAATGGGGAGCCATTACTTGAGTTGTGTAAGTTTGGTAATAAGTAATGCATATTTTATGAAAAAGAGGATAAATAATTATACAAGGTATGATATAGCATGTAATGAAAGTAGTTTCTTAGATTATGTATTGGTGGATAAAAGGTTGATGGGTATGCTTCAGGATGTACATATTTATAGAGGGGCAACTGATATATCAGATCATTATTTAGTTGTAGCTACAGTTAGAGTAAGAGGTAGATGGGACAAAAGGAAAATGGCAACAGCAAGTAAGAGAGAGGCAAAGGTGTATAAACTAAGGGAGGAGGAAATTAGAGTGAGATATAAACAACTATTGGCAGAAAGGTGGGATAGTGCAAGTATGAGTAGTGGGGGGGGGGGGTTGAAGAGGGTTGGAATAGTTTTAAAAATGCAGTATTAGAATGTGAGGCAGAAGTTTGTGGCTATAGGAGGGTGGGTGCAGGAGGAAAGAGGAGTGATTGGTGGAATGATGAAGTAAAGGGTGTGATATGAGAAAAAGGTAGGTTATGATAGGCTTTTACAACACAGGAGTGTCATAAGAAGAGCAGAGTATATGGAGAGTAAAAGAAAGGTGAAGAGAGCAGTGAGAGAATGCAAAAAGAGAGCAGATGATAGAGTGGGAGAGGCACTGTCAAGAAATTTTGATGAAAATAAGAAAAAATTTTGGAGTTAGATAAACAAGTTAAGAAAGCCTAGGAAACGAATGGAGTTATCAGTTAAAAACAGAGTAGGGGAGTTAGTAGATGGGGAACTGGGGGTATTAGGTAGATGGTAGGAATATTTTGAGGAACTTTTAAATGTCGATGAAGAAAGTGAAGCGGTAATTTCATACACTGGCCAGGGAGGTATAACATCTTTTAGGAGTGAAGAAGAGCAGGATGTGAGTGTGGGGGAGGTGCGTGAGGCATTACATAGAATGAATGGGGGTAAAGCAGCTGGAACTGACGGGATCATGACAGAAATGTTAAAAGGGGGGGAGGGGATATAGCGTTGGAGTGATTGGTATTTTTTGTTTAATAAATGTGTGAAAGAGGGAAGGTACCAAGGGATTGGCACAGAGCATGTATAGTTCCTTTATATAAAGGGAAGAGGGACAAAAGAGATTGTAAAAATTTTAGGGAAATAATTTTATTGAGTATACCAGGAAAAGTGTACAGTAGGGTTATTATTGAAAGAATTAGAGATAAGAGAATGTAGGATTGCAGGCGAGCAAGGAGGTTTTAGAGTGGGAAGGGGATGTGTAGATCAAGTGTTTACATTGAAGCATATATGTGAACAGTATTTAGATAAAGGTAGGGAAGTTTTTATTGGATTTATGGATTTAGAAAAGGCATATGATAGTGGATAGGGGAGCAATGTGGCAAGTATATGGAAGAGGTGGTAAGTTACTAAATGCTGTAAAGAGTTTTTATGAGGATAGTGAGGCTCAGGTTAGGGTGTGTAGAAGAGAGGGAGACTACTTCCCGGTAAAAGTAGGTCTTAGACAGGGATGTGTAATGTCACCATGGTTGTTTAATATATTTATAGATGGGTTTTAAAAGAAGTAAATGCTAGGGTGTTCAAGAGAGGGGTGGGATTAAATTATGGAGAATCAAATACAAAATTTGAATTGACACAGTTACTTTTTGCTGATGATACTGTGTTTATGGGAGATTCTAAAGAAAAATTGCAAAGGTTAGTGGACGAGTTTGGGAGTGTGCGTAAAGGTAGAAAGTTGAAAGTGAACATGGAAAAGAGTAAGGTGACGAGGGTATCAAATGATTTAGATAAAGAAAAATTGGTTATCAAATTGGGGAGGAGGAGTATGGAAGAAGTGAATGTTTTCAGATACTTTGGGAATTGACGTGTCAGCAGATGGATTTATGAAGGATGAGGTTAATCATAGAATTGATGAAGGAAAAAAGGCAAGTGGTGTGTTGAGATATATGTGGAGACAAGAAACGTTATCTATGGAGGCAAAGAAGGGAATGTATGAAAGTATAGTAGTACCAGCACTCTTATATGGTTGTGAAGCTTGGGTTGTAAATGCTGCAGTGAGGAGGCAGTTAGAGGCAGTGGAGATGTCCTGTCTAAGGGCAATGTGTGGTGTAAATATGCAGAAAATTCGGAGTGTGGAAATTAGGAGAAGGTGTGGAGTTAATAAAAGTATTAGTCAGGGGGCTGAAGAGGGGTTGCTGAGGTGGTTTGGTCATTTAGAGAGAATGGATGAAAGTAGAATGACATGGAGAGTGTATAAATCTGTAGGGAAAGGAAGGTGGGGTAGGGGTCGTCCTTGAAAAGGTTGAAGGGAGGGGGTAAAGGAGGTTTTGTGGGCGAGGGGCTTGGACTTCCAGCAAGCGCGCGTGAGCATGTTAGGAGTGAATGGAGACGAATGGTATTTGGGTCCTGACAAGCTGTTGGAGTGTGAGCAGGGTAATATTTAGTGAAGGGATTCAGGGAAACTGGTTGTTTTTATATAGCCGGACTTGAGTCCTGGAGGTACAATGCCTGCACTTTAAAGGAGGGGTTTAGGATATTGGCAGTTTGGAGGGATATGTTGTGTATCTTTATACATATATGCTTCTAAACTGTTGTATGCTGGGCACCTCTGCAAAAATAGGGATTATGTGTGAGTGAGGTGAAAGTGTTGAATGATGATGAAAGTATTTCCTTTTGGGGATTTTCTTTCTTTTTGGGTCACCCTGCCTTGGTGGGAGACGGCCAACTTGTTGAAAAAAAAAATACTGAGTATTCCAGGAAAAGTGTATGGTAGGGTTATTATTGAAGGAATTAGTGGTAAGACAGAGAGTACTATTTCGGATGAGCAAGGAGACTTTATAGTGGGTAGGGGATGTGTAAATCAAGTGTTTATATTGAAGCATGTTTGTGAACAGTATTTAGATAAAGGTAGGGAAGTTTTCATTGCATTTATGGATTTAGAAAAGGCATATGATAGTGGATAGGGAAACAATGTGGCAGATGTTGCAAGTATATGGAATAGGTAGTAAGTTACTAAATGCTGTAGAGTTTTTATGAGGATAGTGAGGCTCATGTTAGTGTGTATCAGAGAGGGAGATTACTTCCCAGTAAAAGTAGGTCTTAGACAGGGATGTGTAATGTCACCATGATTGTTTAATGTATTTATAGATGGGGTTGTACAACAAGTAATTATGGGGAATCAAATACAAAATGGAAGTTGACAGTTACTTTTTGCTGATGATACTGTGCTTATGGGAGATTATCAAGAAAAATTGCAAAGTTTAATGGACGAGTTTGGAAGGGTATGTAAAGGTAGAAAATTGAAAGTGAACATAGTTAAGAGTAAGGTGATAAGGGTATCAAATGATTTAGATAAAGAAAAATTGGATATCACATTGGAGAGAAAGAATATGGAAGAAGTGAATGTTTTTAGATATTTGGGAGTTGACGTGTCAGCGGATGGGTTTACGAAGAATGAGGTTAACCATAGAATTGATATAGGAAGAAAAAGTAAGTTGTGCGTTAAGGTATCTGCGGAGACAAAAAAACGTCATCCATGGAGACAAAGAAGGGAATGTACAAAAGTATAGTGGTACCAACACTTTTATATGGGTGTGAAGCTTGGGTTGCAGATGCTGCAGTGAGGAGGTGGCTGGAGGCAGTGAAGATGTCCTGTCTATGGGCAGTGTGTGGAAATTAGGAGGAGGTGTGGAGTTACTAAAAGTATTAGAGGGCTGAAAAGGGGTTGTTGAGGTGCTTTAGTCATTTAGAGAGAATGGCTCAAAGTAGAATGGCTTGGAGAGCATATAAATCTGTAGGGAAAGGAAGGCGGGATAGGGGTCGTCCTCGAAAAGGTTGGAGGGAGGGGGTAAAGGAGATTTTGTGGGCAAGGGGCTTGGACTTCCAGAAAGCACGTATGTGTGTGTTAGATAGGAGTGAATGGAGACGAATGGTTTTTGGGACCTTACGAGCTGTTGGAGTGTGAGCAGGGTAATATTTAGTGTAGGGATTCAGGAAAGCCGGTTATTTTTATATAGCTGGACTTGAGTACTGTAAATGGGAAGCACAATGAGCACTTTAAAAAAGGGTTTGGGATATTGGCAGTTTGGAGGGGTATGTTATATAGGCTTCTAAACTTTTGTATCTAGGTGCCTCTGCAAAGACAGTGCTTATGTGTGAGTGAGGTGAAAGTGTTGAAGGATGATGAAAGTATTTTCTTTTTGGGTCACCTTGCCTCAGTGGGAGACGGTCGACTTGTTAGGAAAAAAAATAGTTTGATAGTATTTATTTGTGTTTGTAGCTTTTATTGCTAACTTTATTTTTACTTTCTTTGTGTATGTCATAAATATACATTATGTATGTATGTGTGTGTGTGAGTACATGTATGATCATATCTTCAGGCAACTTATTTATGCAGCATTTATGATTTAAATAATCTTACATTAATTATTCTCTACAGTTATTTTTAAGGTATTTATAATCTTAAAGACTGTACAAAATATATTGCATAGCCATGGGCTTTCTTTTTTTGTATGGCACAACCTATCTTTAATGAACTTCTGTTATGAAATTGTATCTTCATGTAATATAAACCTGTGTGTTTACCTCTTTGGCTACACCATAGTGTCCAACTCTCCAAGGGCAGTACAAGTGATCCACACTTAATTAAGAGTCCTCTCATCCCTCCCTCATTTCCATTTAGTTCTGAGCCTGAGGGTAAAGTTTTTACTTGTTCTGGTGTTCAGGGCAATGAAATTTCAGAATCCTCTGCACATTCAGGTTTTTCAAGCTTCTGTGGATGGTTGCCCTTTTTCAGAATATATTTGCCACCATTAATTCAACAGCTAAGAGATCATTGGCAGCAACTTTGGTCTGCATTAATGACCAAGAAGCTGTTTTTCTTCAAACTGTAATTGGAGATTTGGCCATCCTCTATTCCTCACTGCTGGTTGTGGGTAATGATACTCTTGCAACTGCATATTGGTCACATAAGGCATTCCTGATCATCTTCTGGAGGTGAACACAGTGCTTCTGAGCACTGTCAGATCATATTGACATTCTATCATTTGCTAGATTGCTCTATTCATCAGAGAACACACTAGCTTCATTTTCAATCACTTCCTCAGTACCCTGATATGTATGCTCTCTGCCCTCCTCTTTGGAAGTACATACCACCTTTGATTTGGATTCTCTAATTTAACTGAAAGTGATTTGCTTTACTCGGTGACTTAGTCCTTTTGCCCATTGAACTCTAACACTTCTCTCTCTTGCCCTTTAACATCACTCATCTCTTTGGCAGCATTAACTTTCTGAGACTGTAATAATAATATTTTGAATGTTTTGTAGGTAGCCGAATGGCTTGGTGCCAAAAAGCAGAGCAGCATATGCGCAGTATTATAGAGAACAAAGACTTGCTTATCTACCACTTACAACAACCTCTTGTTGCCAACTTCCTCACAATGCATTATAATTACCACAAGTAAGTAGTTAATGTTTATAATGGGTAGGTTTTTTAATGGACAAGGGGCCACAGTAAGGGCAAAGTTGCAGGCTTAGTGCAATGGTTAGAACAAAGTATTTTGCAAGTTGCTACATTCATGGAGTCTGGAGTTACTACCACAGGCTAAAAAAAAACCTGTCACACATTCACACAGTTTTTAAACTCCATAAAATAACCAGTAAATGAAGTATTTGAGGAATAATGCACCCTGACATAAGATGTACTAGTTTTAAAGGTGAACTGGGGAGAAGAATATCTGGCAGATCCAGTCCTGTAATGGATTTGAGAAGAAACGTCCTAATAACTACCTACACTTTGCATTATTGGAGTTGTGAACAATATATTTTTTCCCTACACATCTCAATCTGGAGAACCAGTTAGACTAATACAGCACTGCCTAAGAAAACTTAAAATTTAATTTTAGATAATGAGTCCTTAACATGCCATTGTGTTGTTTCATTATCTAAAATGTATGTATTGTTGAATTATGCTGTAAATTTTTTCTCTCAGTTTGTATATTTTTTATGTAAAATTTACCTATTTCAAGTTAACAAGCACTTGAGATGTTTCATGTATCATCCTCTCTTAGCTATGGACACTATATTTATATATAAATATTTTATTTTTCCTGAGATTCTTTGTACCTTCATGAATTACAGAAAGTTTCTTTACATATACGAGGGCCTGTTTAGTCAGCTTAAAGTTTTTGATGCTGGTAAGTTTCAGAAACTAAACTGCAAGAGTTCTCTATATTTACAGGGCCCATCGAGAGGGATGTTTTTTTTTTTTCATATCAATGAGGGGCTTTTGATCCAAGGAATTGGACTTTCCCTCCTTTCCTTAGAGTGAGCCTCTCATTTCTGCAAGCACTGTATGACCTCTACAGGTTTAGCACTCCCCCTGAATATAAGAATATACTTATACTTATACTTGAGGAACTTTTAAATGTTGAGGAAGAAAGGGAGGCGGTAATTTCATGCACTGGCCAGGGAGGTATACCATCTTTTAGGAGTGAAGAAGAGCAGAATGTAAGTGTGGTGGAGGTACGTGAGGCATTACGTAGAATGAAAGGGGGTAAAGCAGCTGGAACTGATGGGATCATGACAGAAATGTTAAAAGCAGGGGGGGATATAGTGTTGGAGTGGTTGGTACTTTTGTTTAATAAATGTATGAAAGAGGGGAAGGTACCTAGGGATTGGCAGAGAGCATGTATAGTCCCTTTATATAAAGGGAAAGGGGACAAAAGAGATTGTAAAAATTATAGAGGAATAAGTTTACTGAGTATACCAGGAAAAGTATACAGTAGAGTTATAATTGAAAGAATTAGAGGTAAGACAGAATGTAGAATTGCGGATGAGCAAGGAGGCTTCAGAGTGGGTAGGGGATGTGTAGATCAAGTGTTTACATTGAAGCATATATGTGAACAGTATTTAGATAAAGGTAGGGAAGTTTTTATTGCATTTATGGATTTAGAAAAGGCATATGATAGAGTGGATAGAGGAGCAATGTGGCAGATGTTGCAAGTTTATGGAATAGGTGGTAAGTTATTAAATGCTGTAAAGAGCTTTTATGAGGATAGTGAGGCTCAGGTTAGGGTGTGTAGAAGAGAGGGAGAATACTTCCCGGTAAAAGTAGGTCTTAGACAGGGATGTGTAATGTCACCATGGTTGTTTAATATATTTATAGATGGGGTTGTAAAAGAAGTAAATGCTTGGGTGTTCGGGAGAGGGGTGGGATTAAATTATGGGGAATCAAATTCAAAATGGGAATTGACAGTTACTTTTTGCAGATGATACTGTGCTTATGGGAGATTCTAAAGAAAAATTGCAAAGGTTAGTGGATGAGTTTGAGAATGTGTGTAAAGGTAGAAAGTTGAAAGTGAACATAGAAAAGAGTAAGGTGATGAGGGTATCAAATGATTTAGATAAAGAAAAATTGGATATCAAATTGGGGAGGAGGAGTATGGAAGAAGTGAATGTTTTCAGATACTTGGGAGTTGACGTGTCGGCGGATGGATTTACGAAGGATGAGGTTAATCATAGAATTGATGAGGGAAAAAAGGTGAGTGGTGCGTTGAGGTATATGTGGAGTCAAAAAAACGTTATCTATGGAGGCAAAGAAGGGAATGTATGAAAGTATAGTAGTACCAACACTCTTATATGGATGTGAAGCTTGGGTGGTAAATGCAGCAGCGAGGAGACGGTTAGAGGCAGTGGAGATGTCCTGTCTAAGGGCAATGTGTGGTGTAAATATTATGCAGAAAATTCGGAGTGTGGAAATTAGGAGAAGGTGTGGAGTTAATAAAAGCATTAGTCAGAGGGCAGAAGAGGGGTTGTTGAGGTGGTTTGGTCATTTAGAGAGAATGGATCAAAGTAGAATGACATGGAAAGCATATAAATCTATAGGGGAAGGAAAGAGGGGTAGGGGTCGTCCTCGAAAGGGTTGGAAAGAGGGGGTAAAGGAGGTTTTGTGGGCGAGGGGCTTGGACTTCCAGCAAGCGTGCATGAGCGTGTTAGATAGGAGTGAATGGAGGCGAATGATACTTGGGACCTGACGATCTGTTGGAGTGTGAGCAGGGTAATATTTAGTGAAGGGATTCAGGGAAAACCGGTTATTTTCATATAGTCGGACTTGAGTCCTGGAAATGGGAAGTACAATGCCTGCACTTTAAAGGAGGGGTTTGGGATATTGGCAGTTTGGAGGGATATGTTGTGTATCTTTATACGTATATGCTTCTAAACTGTTGTATTCTGAGCACCTCTGCAAAAGCAGTGATAATGTGTGAGTGTGGTGAAAGTGTTGAATGATGATGAAGGTATTTTCTTTTTGGGGATTTTCTTTCTTTTTTGGGTCACCCTGCCTCGGTGGGAGACGACCGACTTGTTGAAAAAAAAAAAAAAAAACTTATAGGGACTTGAAAATTATCTTGCAGTTGTTAATATATACAAGGACCTAATTATTATTTTAGTTCTCTACACCCCCAGACACCTCATCAGTTTGATTGGAGAGCTTGTTGACATCTTGAATAATGTCTCTTCACACATACGCCTTATTCAGGATCATGCACAAAACTCTATTCTCCAAAGATCGGTGAGGAAGCTTTTTATGTTGATTGCAACTTGTAGTCTGTATGAGCTTGAAAAAAAATGCAAATTTAAGAACAGTAGATTATACTGTAAAATATGGAGCAGCCTACATAAAACACACATGCCAGTATCTAGTTCAGTATTAAACCTGCATTTTTCATGGTCAGTCTTATCTGATTACTGTGAAGAATTAAGGTCAAAATACCATGGCTGGAACAATTCATTATTAATCCAAAATTTGGAAAGGAAATTTTAGACAAAGTTTTGGCCAATCCTTGAATATTAACCTTGACAGCAAACAAACTTAATTTGCATATTCAGCACATATCTAAAGAAATTTCTAAAACAATAGGCATCCTTTCTGAATTAGATATACTTAACCAGTTGTGTTTGCTGGGATTGAAATTCAGCTCCTGGCCCCACCTCATAGAATATTTTGCATGGCATCACTAATTTCTGGTCTCTTGGGCCTTACTGTTATCTACTCCTGAAGCTGTGTATTGGGTTTGCCTCCACCACTGCCTCGTACAAGTCATTTCACTTTTCAGCTGTCCTAACACTAAAGAGACACTTCCTTACATCCCTATAGCTTATCTGTGTTCCACGTTCTACTTTGTCCCCTTGACTCTGGTCCTCGATTCAAACAGTCTGTCCTTATCTGCCCTAGCATTTCTTCTAAAAGGTTTGTATGTTGTAATTATGTCTCTTCTTGTTCTCTTATCCAGGGTCTTCAAGTTTAGTTCCTTCAACCTCTCCTCATGGTGCTTTTCTCTCAGTTCTGGTACTAATTTGGTTACACTTCTTTGTATCTTTTCAAACTATTGCTAAAGGATTTCCTTAACTTCATGTAATATTTTTATATGGCTATCATAATGTTTATTATGCCTAATATACCTTTTACTTCTAGCCCTTTAAATTGCTACATAACTTTAATCATAACTACTTAACTTGACTACTGAAATTGCACATACAGTGGTACCTCGGGATATGAACAGCTGAAAACTCAAACAATTATCTAAGTGTATTTGTGTAAGTGCTTTTGTAAGTGTATTTTTGGGGGTTTGAAATGGATTAATCTAATTTACATTATTCCTTATGGGAACAAATTCATTCAGTATCGGCACTCAAACAGCCTTCTGGAACAAATTATGTTCGTATCCCAAGGTACCACTGTTCTTAATTATCACATAAAATTACTCCTCTGCTAATAGTCTTTTATCTCTAAACTTGTGCTATAAATAAGTTGTAAATATTAGTTTAAGTCTGCCTGAAATGCTTTGCATAGCAAAGGGCTTTCAAAAGCATTGTACATTCAATTGATATATAATTAGAAAAATTGTAACAACATTTTGTATTATTGGAAATAATTTATTATTTGTATTTATAACATTGAGGCATGGTTTGCCCTAATAATGGTTCAGTGCTGACTGATTATTTTTATAAACAGGAGGAGGTGCTAAACCCATAGAGATCATACAGCACATTCAGACTGAAGTTTTTTTCTTGCAGTTTCTTGCTAGAGATTTTATTCAAAATCAAAATCTTTATTTCTTAGAAACATACATAAAGTTACAATTGTGGGTTTAGAGTTCATTTGGTTAGTTTTGATAAAGTTATAATATAAATTTAATTTTATACAAATCCGAGCTTGAAAGACATCCACTTATTATGTAAAGCACTTCATAATATGCCGTCCTGCCTTAGTGGAAAACTTCCGTTGAGTTATAAAAATGTAAGAAAGCTAAATTTATTATTTTATTAGATACAGTTTTTGCACAGATTATCAAATTTTAATTGTCTGTTAATACTGAATATACATTATTACAGGACAGCTGCATCAGTAGTCTGACACATACTGTAACTGACCTACGGGATACAATTAATGACATAACAGCACTACAGTCTCTAGTTACAGGAATGCTGAATACTAAGGAGTGAATAATCACACAAAACTTGTACTTCAGCAAGATATTAAAGTAAGCAGTCATTTGTAAAACTCAGTACATATATTGTATTATTTCTTCCTTTTGAAAAATTTAGTTTCCCAACAATGTCAGTCATTTTTAAGGTGGCATTTTCAGATTCTTGAATTCATGTGGATTTATGTTGCTCAGTCTCTTCAATAGGGTGTGCCTTAATTCAAGGAATTGGAGCTGCTCTTCCCTTGGATGAAACATGATTACCTGTCATTCCTTGGGTGCTGTATGACTCCTACAGATTTATTGCTTCCTTTTCATCATAACAGTAATATGCTTAAAGTCAGAAATCCATAATTGTTTTAAAAATTTAATATGAAGATACCTTCTATTTTTCCCATATCAAGGTGTTTTGATATACTTAACCCTTTCAGGGTTTCTGACGTACTAGTACGGCTTACGCACCAGGGTTTTTGACGTACTAGTACGCCTAAATTCTAGTGCCCTCAAATCTAGTGAGAGAAAGCTGGTAGGCCTACTTATGAAAGAATGGGTCTATGTGGTCAGTGTGCGCAGTATAAAAAAATCCTGCAGCACACAGTGCGTAATGAGGAAAAAAAACTTTGACAGTGTTTTTGGTTTAAAACAGCGACTTTGCACTGTATTTTCGTATGGTATTTATGACGGTATTCTAGTTTTCCTGGTCTCATTTTATAGCATGGAAGACATATTACAGAAGTTGAGATGATTTTGATTGGTTTTTACAATGAAAAGTACCTTGAAATTGAGCTCAAAGCCGAAATCTTCAATTTTTGCCAAAGTTCAAAAGCAACCAAATCATGCTACGCGTCTAATACACGTCAACTGGTGAGTTTAATATTCTTTCACAAGTGTGCTGATATTATTTATACCATTTCTACATTAATGCAGTAGTCTGCATAACAGTAAATCTTCTATTTTTTTGTGAGAATAAAGATTCAAAATGGAAAGCAAAAGAATGTAAGAGGGGTGTGGGGACGTGACTAATGAACAGAGGAAATGTTATTTTAGTGCCAGGAATGTCTCTTGTTTATTCTGGACCCTATTTGGAAATTGGCATCTTTTGAAATTTGTGTGAAATTAGCAAAATTGCTAAATTCTGACCACTTTATTGGATAGTTGAAATCGGTAAATGGGTGGTTTCTTGTACTCATTCGATGCAAAAAATGGAGTAATAGCGAAATAGTTATGATTTTTGTCGACTAGTACACTGGAATTGGCCGAAAATAGGGCTCAAAGTGGGCAAAATCGCTGATACGTAAACATCGTCGAGACCGCTAACTTCGCGAGAGCATAATTCTCTCTAAATGACCAAACCACCTCAACAACCCTTCTTCAGCCCTCTGACTAATACTTTTATTAACTCCACACCTCTGAATTTCCACACTCCGAATTTTCTGCATAATATTTACACCACACATTGCCTTTAGACAGGACATCTCCACTGCCTCCAACCGTCTCCTCTCCGCAGCATTTACAACCCAAGCTTCACACCCATATAAGAGTGTTGGTACCACTATACTTTCATACATTCCATTCTTTGCCTCCATAGATAATGTTTTTTGTCTCCACATATACCTCAACACACCACTTGCCTTTTTTCCTTCACCAATTCTATGATTAATCTCATCCTTCATAAATCCATCCGCTGACACGTCAACTCCCAAATATCTGAAAACATTCACTTCTTCCATACTCCTCCTCTCCAATTTGATATGCAATTTTTCTTTATCTAAATAATTTGATACCCTCATCACCTTACTCTTTTCTATGTTCACTTTCAACTTTCTACATTTACACACACTCCCAAACTCGTCCACTATCCCTTGCAATTTTTCTTTAGAATCTCCCATAAGCACAGTATCATCAGCAAAAAGTAACTGTGTCAATTCCCATTTTGCATTTGATTCCCCATAATTTAATCCCACCCCTCTCTTGAACACCCTAGCATTTACTTCTTTTACAACCTTATCTATAAATATATTAAACAACCATGGTAATATTGTACATCTGTTTTTATTTATAGTAGACATGAATTGTACTCAAATTACAATAATTTCAATAATAAATCTTTTTCAACAAACTGGCCGTATCCCACCGAGGCAGGGTGGCCCAAAAAGAAAAATGAAAGCTTCTCCTTTTAAGTTGTTATGGAGGGAGTAGTAGGTAAATTTGGGGTGCCAGGGGTAAATGTAAATGGGGAGCCTTTAATTGAGCTATGTGTAGAAAGAAATTTGGTAATAAGTAATACATATTTTATGAAAAAGAGGATAAATAAATATACAAGGTATGATGTAGCACGTAATGAAAGTAGTTTATTAGATTATGTATTGGTGGATAAAAGGTTGATGGGTAGGCTCCAGGATGTACATGTTTATAGAGGGGCAACTGATATATCGGATCATTATTTAGTTGTAGCTACAGTTAGAGTAAGAGGTAGATGGGAAAAGAGGAAGGTGGCAACAACAAGTAAGAGGGAAGTGAAAGTGTATAAACTAAGGGGAGGAGGAAGTTCGGGTTGAGATATAAGGGGGACTATTGGCAGAAAGGTGGGCTAGTGCAAATGAGTAGTGGGGGGGTTGAAGAGGGTTGGAATAGTTTTAAAAAAAGCAGTATTAGAATGTGGGGCAGAAGTTTGTGGTTATAGGAGGTGGGGGCAGGAGGAAAGAGGAGTGATTGGTGGAATGATGAAGTAAGGGTGTGTGGAAAAAGAAAAGGTAGCTTATGAGAGGTTTTTACAAAGCAGAAGTGTTATAAGAAGAGCAGAGTATATGGAGAGTAAAAGAAAGGTAAAGAGAGTGGTGAGGGGAGTGCAAAAGGAGAGCAGATGATAGAGTGGGAGAGGCACTGTCAAGAAATTTTAATGAAAATAAGAAAAAATTTGGAGAGTGAGTTAAACAAGTTAAGAAAACCTAGGGAAAATATGGTTTTTTGTCAGTTAAAAACAGAGTAGGGGAGTTTGTAGATGGGGGAGATGGAGGTATTGGGTAGATGGCGAGAATTTTTGGGAACTTTTAAATGTTAAGGAAGAAACAGAGGCAGTAATTTCATGCACTGGTCGGGAGGTATACCCTCTTTTAGGAGTGAAGAAAAGCAGAATGTAAGTGTGGGGGAGGTTTCGTGAGGATTACGTAAAATGAAAGGGGGGTTTTTAAACAGCTGGAAACTGATGGGATCATGACAGAAATGTTAAAAGCCAGGGGGGGATATAGTGTTGGAGTGGTTGGTACTTTTGTTTAATTTAAAAGTATGAAAAAGGGGAAGGTACCTAGGGATTGGCAGAGAGCATGTATAGTCCTTTATAAAAGGGAAAGGGGACAAAAAAGACTGTAAAATTATAGAGGAATAAGCTTACTGAGTATAAACCCGGAAAAGTGTACGGTAGGGTTATAATTGAAAGAATTAGGGTAAGACAGAATGTAGGGTTGCGGATGAGAAGGAGGTTTTAGAGTGGGTAGGGGATGTGTAGATCAGGTGTTTACATTTAAAGCATATATGTGAACAGTTTTGATAAAGATAGGGAAGTTTTTATTGCATTTATGGATTTAGAAAGGCATATGATAGAGTGGATAGAGGGCAAAGTGGCGATGTTGCAAGTATATGGATAGGTGGTAAGTTATTAATGCTGTAAAGAGTTTTTATGAGGATAGTGAGGCTCAGGTTAGGGTGTGTAGAAGAGAGGGAGACTACTTCCCGGTAAAAGTAGGTCTTAGACAGGGATGTGTAATGTCACCCTGGTTGTTTAATATATTTATAGATGGGGTTGTAAAGGAAGTAAATGCTAGGGTTTTTGGGAGAGGGGTGGGATTAAATTATGGGGAATCAAATTCAAAATGGGAATTGACACAGTTACTTTTGCTGATGATACTGTGCTTATGGGAGATTCTAAAGAAAAATTGCAAAGGTTAGTGGATGAGTTTGGGAATGTGTGTAAAGGTAGAAAGTTGAAAGTGAACATAGAAAAGTAAGGTGATGAGGGTGTCAAATGATTTAGATAAAGAAAAATTGGATTATCAAATTGGGGAGGAGGAGTATGGAAGAAGTGAATGTTTTCAGATACTTGGGAGTTGACGTGTCGGCGGATGGATTTATGAAGGATGAGGTTAATCATAGAATTGATGAGGGAAAAAAGGTGAGTGGTGTTTTGAGGTATATGTGGAGTCAAAAACGTTATCTATGGAGGCAAAGAAGGGAATGTATGAAAGTATAGTAGTACCAACACTCTTATATGGGTGTGAAGCTTGGGTGGTAAATGCAGCAGCAGAGGAGACGGTTGGAGGCAGCGGAGATGTCCTGTTTAAGGGCAATGTGTGGTGTAAATATTATGCAGAAAATTCGGAGTGTGGAAATTAGGAGAAGGTGTGGAGTTAATAAAAGTATTAGTCAGAGGGCAGAAGAGGGGTTGTTGAGGTGGTTTGGTCATTTAGAGAGATGGATCACAGTAGAATGACATGGAAAGCATATAAAATCTATAGGGGAAGGAAGGCGGGGTAGGGGTCGTCCTCGAAAGGGTTGGAGAGAGGGGGTAAAGGAGGTTTTGTGGGTAAGGGGCTTGGACTTCCAGCAAGCGTGCGTGAGCGTGTTAGATAGGAGTGAATGGAGACGAATGGTACTTGGGACCTGACGATCTGTTGGAGTGTGAGCAGGGTAATTATTTAGTGAAGGGATTCAGGGAAACCGGTTATTTTATATAGTCGGACTTGAGTCCTGGAAATGGGAAGTACAATGCCTGCACTTTAAAGGAGGGGTTTGGGATATTGGCAGTTTGGAGGGATATGTTGTGTATCTTTATATGTTTATGCTTCTAGACTGTTGTATTCTGAGCACCTCTGCAAAAACAGTGATAATGTGCGAGTGTGGTGAAAGTGTTGAATGATGATGAAAGTATTTTCTTTTTGGGGATTTTCTTTCTTTTTTGGGTCACCCTGCCTCGGTGGGAGACGGCCGACTTGTTGAAAAAAAAAAAAAAAAAAAAAAATTTATACAGGAGAAGGGGTCACTAGCCCCTTGCTCCGGCATTT